TATTTATCGCATAGATTTTTTGTTTTGTTGATGTTCTCTGTTTTCTTACAGTAGAAAGTCAAAATAATAGCAGAGTCTAGAAATATAACAGACGTGATATTTGTGTCTTGGGCGTTCACTTTTAGTCACATGAGTGCAATATTTTTCGTTGTAACTTTTTACCTGTCGACCTGGTCTATATTTATTTTGTAGATGGGTGAATTCAGTCCTCTCTATATCCAAATTATATTTCACGTACTGTACGACATACTCGTCAGATAGATTTTTGATTTATAAGTAGTTCTTTATTACCACGCCAAAGCTGTTCGCTACATTATTACTCGGAAGACTAGTTTGTTAAAATATAGAGTATTCTGAAATATATAGTAAATCTTCTCTTCATTGGAGTAATGCTTTTCACCTGGAATATTAAACTCCTTTGTTTGAACAGCATGACTTTGAATATTTTCAGCCTAACCTGGAACTTCTCTTAAATTATTTCTCTTTAAGGTTTTTCTCCCTCATTTTCTCTAGCTTTTTTTTCTTTCTATGTTCTAAACATTTTCTCTTTTGTAGCATTTCTGTACCTAACGTCACAAACACATGCAAAACATTTACGAGATATTTAAGCTCCTATAACGCAAAATTACGATAATTTTCCTGCTACAGTAAAATTAGAGAGTATCAGAAAAATGATAGGAGAGCAAGCGGCTGCATATTTTGTTGTGTGCACATTCGTTGAAAATGTCTTATACGCAATTTTTTTTTTTTTTGAGATGTTAAGGCCAATTTCATGATCAAACCTGTTAGGCCAATAAATTAGTCACTTAATAATTATTCAATGGATATCTGTGTAATTTTGTGTTTGGTTTCCAAGATCAGTAGTTTAACTAGCAGATTTTAGATCATTTGTGAAAGACATCAACATGATCCAAACGCTAAGTATCCATTGGAAATCTAGATCAACGGTATAACGTAGCCATGAAATACAAAATTTGGCTGTTTCATAAACACGTAGATCAGAGGCCACAAGTGTTTGCTACATACATATCTGTTTCATAATTTAGAATAACATTTATAAGACTTAGTTTCAACTTCCAAAGCTGAAAAGAGAATTTAACATACTGATAACCCTGAGGATGGTAGCACTCCAGGTCAACAGACAAACAAAGTTATGCTCTTCCCAACCCAAGTTCAATGACGTCATTTGATTTATAGTAGTGGGAGAAACAGAGACACAACGGAAGTAGAGAGTAGTTTCTTTGGACCAGACCATGAGTCAGTGACGTCACACGCTCAAAGACTTCTGGTAGGAAAAGTGCGGCTTTGTAGTACAGTGACCTTGATTGTTTTGACGATAATGTCTTCAAAAAAATAGTAATATGGGGTGACAGGATGTACGAAAGGATCAGACTATATTACTAACAATAGCATCTCTTAAATTATTACAATTTCCATGCCTTCCGGACTAAGTTTCGAAGCTCTGATATATGTTCAGGCTGACATGAAAGGTTTGAAATAAAATGACATCCTCTGATTATAGGCAATACATTTCTCCCACCGTACAATAAAATTTTTAGACCAAATAAAACATCTGGCCAAATCTGTTTGGATCCTGTACGTATATCACAACTACTTACGTTTTTCTCAAATCATTTCAGAAATTAAAAGCTAATTCCTATTTTTGCTTTCGCATTTAATCATAAAAGTTAAATTCGTCATCGGACATTTTTCTTATAGAAAAAAAAAAAAAGTAATAATCTAATCCTTTCATTAAAGCGAAGGTTCGTAAAGCCTATTCTTTTCTAACAATTTATTTACAAGATTTTGAATTTTCTTTGGCAATAAATTAATTCATTTTTATTAAACATGAAGAAACAAGTATTTTTAAGTCAGTAATATATTTGCTGTCCTATAAATACAATGCTGACAATCGCCTCTTAGAAACAAGTCAAAAACTGGTAAGAAATATAGAGATATTTACAATTCTTTGAACACAATTTTGAATATTATTTATCTCGTAGAAATGAACAATTATTCTTGCAGCCATTTATTAATTAACTGCTTGGGCATTCCTACATTCTAATGCAAAAAGCACACTCGTGAACTCATTCCGAAAATAAAATATAATTTAAAAAAGTTATTTTACGATAAGTTTTTATATAAAATGGTTATGATAATATACTAAAAGGAGGAAAATAATTTATCATAGTTTAATGAGAATAATATCTATTTACAGAGTTTATTTACAATTTTATATTGCAAATAATAAAAGCGTGGAGCGGCCACGATAAGTTAAAAAAGATAATGGTTTACTCATTTGACAATGCCATTAAATTTATAGATTTCATTATTCCCCCCCAAACAAAAAACGGAAAAAAATCTTTTCAATGAAACTTGTATGGAAATTTGAACTTAATTTCTGGATTCTTGACAAATTCTTTAAAATCGCTTGATTTTTTGAGTATTTAAAGTCTTTTATTTTAAAACTAGAAAGCCCAGCGGTCATACGGAATGACCGCTGTTCTAGATATTATAAATTGTAATTCAAATTATTTGGGCAAAGGTGTCTGCTAATTCAAATTGGATTACCCAGGGCAGGCGGCGAGGACGCGCCTTTGCTTACTGTTCCACGGGGTTTCCCCCCTTCTACTTGCTTAATTGATTAAAGTAGAGTGCAATGACGGAAACCACTGGCGGTACATTTTTTAAGAGCCACCGCTAACTCAATAAGTAAAGGTGATTTAAATAATAAAATGTTAATTCACATGCCAAAGATCTCTTTGTACACAGCATTTCTGTTAGATCTTTCATCATTTGAAGCTGCCTTGCAGAAACCATCATTATTTTAATTTTACGTCTCTCTTCACGAACTCTTGAACAGGGAACATAAAGTTGACCGTGTCAAATGCAGGCTCAGGGAAAAAATGCCACACTCTAAGCGTTTCCCTGAGACATATTGATGGTCATAACGACGAGTTTTACAGGAATGTCTACGTCTCACTTGAAACGGCAACCCTGTGCCGGGCAACTCATGGCTAGTACAGTTACGCAACACCAATAAACTATCGGCGACAAACGACACTTAGCCGCATATAGATATGGGTGAAGTAACATTATCTCCTCCGAAACTGCTGTCTCCCGGGCTTAGCGAAGCACACCGTTGGATTCAGCAAGTCCCTGTCACGCCATTTTGATCATTCGCGTGTTCTTGGGACTTTAATTAGCCGAGATATTAATGAAAAACTAATTTTCCCCTACGTTTTCCGTATATTTTTCACTTTTTCCTTGGGTTTTCCCTATTAGAGGGATTTGGCTACGTACCAAATTATTTTTTCTCGAATATCTACGGAACTCGCCGAGTTGAAATTCGAGACGCGTACCCTCGGATTCCCAAAAATTCTCCGAATTCACCGATACCGTTCTTATCTTCGTACGACTTTAATCGGCAGAGATATTAATTATAATTTGCGTGCTCATTTTTCCGAGTGGCAACAATAAACTATCGGCGACACACTTTTTAGCCGCTTATTTATATAAAGATTTCAACATCTAAAACGGAACCATATATAAAACTTTGAAACTTTCCCGCGTAATAAAAGAAACTGTTCACTATCTTTTAAACTAAGAGTAATTAACAAAAAGTATATAAAAATCTAAATGCTCTCATATTTTATATTACGCCCAAAGGGGAGCTTTATCATTTACGCATACATACACCGAAAGCATTTGGTCTAACGTCTTTTTGAGCCAAAAATATTGAAAAACTGCATATCTTTAGAATTTCCGATAGACAGTCTCGTGCGCTGGAGATAAAATTATTTTATTCCGCACAGTGTGTTACTAGTGCTCGTTTGAAGTCTTGCAGTTTTTTAATTAAATATTCGTTAAAGTTTAAAATGTATGAAGTACATTATAAATCAAACTCGTAATTCAAGATTCAGGCTCTCAGGTGCCCATATTCGTGTGGAGGACTACATTATTCGGAATTCGATGACTCTAGCTATCGTTGTTCTTCACAATGCGAGAAACATACACACATTCATGCAGATTTTTCATTGTTTAATTTCTTTAAATATAATACGAGGAGATAACATTTAGTGGCAACAATTTGCAAAGTGTCACACCCGTTTATAGCGATTCGACGCATTTCTAAAATTAAAGAAATGCTGCTTTAATTTACTTCTTTTTTTTTTTTTTTTTTTTTTTTTTTTTTTTTTGCGTCTTTTTGCACGAGGTTCACTGAGTCCAGAATTTATGTAAATTTGGTGGCAAGCAGTTTTACTATAGTTTAGATATTTACATATAGAAATATGAGAGTTTGGCCTGCGGTTCGCGAGTTGAACAAAAAGTCTGTTAGCAATGTTAAATGCTGGTCTTGTTTGGAGTTTTCTGAAATAAAGTTAGATCCTCATTTGGTAAGTGCGTGCATTTTTAAATTCTGATTACACAAACAGTCGTTTATGTAATCTTGTTGACTAGTCAAATTAGATAAGAACTGTTGCATTTATAATCATAGATAAAGTAAGCTTTGAGTTTTCAACCAGGTGCAGGTTGGGTGATAAATTTATGTTTTTATATCTTTAATTCAACCATTCAGAAGTGGACAGGTATAATAAACTCAAAATCTTTTAACTGCGTGTCTTTTTCTTTGATAGTTGAATATTCTAGTAGTCAAAATTCACCTCACAGAACAAAAGTAATACCTTATTGTTATTGTATTAGCCTAGCTCAGTTATTAGAACCCACAGCAGTTGTTAAAAATGATTCGAAACTGTACTGTACTACGATCTAATGCACCAAGTAAGTAAATTCAATTGGCCGAATGCCACAAGGCTTGATGCAGGATTACAAAAAGGCTGTTAGGTTTTAATAAAGCTAAATAGAATGAGATATGTTCGCACTGTTTTGTGGTTTATTAAAATAAGTCACAGAATACACTACTTCAAAGAAATGAATATCTTAACCACAATTTAACCATGACTTATGTATTTGCTTATATTTAAATTTAATGCTCTAAATCACAAAAAAAATTGGAATGTTTTATTTGCAAGCGTACCAAAGGAATAATAAAACTAATACTGGCAAGCTAAGATATTACACGGGAGCTAGAAGTGTCACTATTCAATATCTCTTCGCAAATGTTCTTTACCATCTTGAGTATGGGACTATATAGTTTGTGGAAAAAGGTTTCGACATCTGCCGTGCAAATATCTTCAACATTCTTTTCAAAACATGTCACGATGCTCTCCAATTTCCTGCAAAATAAAAGATAGATGTAAATAGTCACTTAGGAACTCAAAGTAATTAAAATATATTTACCCGTGATAGATCGAATTAAACTTTGACTATCGAAAGTCTCATATTACACATTACAAATGCTCTACGTGAAATTCTTTTGTTACGTAGCACCCACCCAATCTTCAGTCGAGATTAACAAATGACAATACGGTCTTCATCTAGACTCCAAATTCATAAGAAATCGATTTTTGGCACATATTTTTTAAAATTGCTGTTGAGAGTGATATAATAAATATATATCTTCTTACGTAGCTATTGCCATCGGAAAATGGTAAATTCCAAATATCAGGTCGTCGCATCAGTCATGTCGTATATGCTTGTGTAGTTTGAAATGGATATCTGTTAAATGATAAACGGATATCATATGGAACATCTTGTATTATTCCATAAAAAACTTAGATATTTAAATTTAAATTTCATGTATCATGGGTAAATGCGAATAAGTACTTTGCTTAAATCGTTGAAACCGGATAATTCCTTTCGACTTAGGCTTTTATCTTAAAGGATGAAGTCAAAGGTTGGAAGATTTTGAACAAAATCTACCGATCTTGAGGGTGCTCAGACGCAGGTACCTCTTTTTCAAGAGCAGAATTATTTTTGCTGTTGAAGAAGAGGAATCTGTGTTTGATCGCTCTTGCAATCGTAAACGTTTTGTTTAAAATTTACGCCAGAGACAGGTTGCTGCTGTATTTAATTTTTTTTTAGACTGGCGTGTTTCTCTTTCAATTTGTGACAGACAGATTTTAAACGAAATATGGTACAGACATAATTTGCTCTAACAAAAAAAATATACCTTACAACAGTCATGGATGGAACACAATTTAAGTTTGTTCATAAATAAAAATGAAATATCAGTTTAGAAAAATGTTGCTGATGTAATACATTAACTGGCGAGCCTTTCATGCAAACTGTAGTGAAAAGTATTGAACAACACAAAAAAGAGAGAGCTTGCTCGCAGAATTTTACAGGATTCGTGCTTCAAAAAACACTGTCACGTTAAGTATTGGCTCATAGCCAACTCATAATATTATTTCCATAAATTAAAAAGGAAAATATCTGATATGGGCAACACATGACTTCCTTATACGGCATGTTAAATTATACATATTTTTTCCTGCGCTTCATTTAAACATATTTCCTCGAATTTTATTACAAATATAGTATATCTCATTCAATTAGTTCAACTCTCACTTCCCGGCAAGGCAAAAATATACAGAAACTCAAACTATTTTCGCAATTACAACACTTCCTTTACTTCGTACAAGACAGTAAACAATTAGTCTTTACACAGGGCTATTCGTAACTTTTCAAAACCTTTCTGAAACTTTCCAGAACAAATGACCTCATACCTTTTTAAAATCTCCATAATAAAAATTATGCAATTGCTAATAAATTTTATTTAACGGAACTAAAGACCAAATTATCATTTTTTTTTTTTTCGTTAAGGGCTTAATGTGTTCACCTTTGCTGATGCGATAATTTATTTCTTCAAAGCACGTGCTAGTGTATCATGATCGATTAAATCCTCCGTGTTATCGCGAAGATCCTCGGGGTTCATGAGAAGCGCAGGCAAAAACACAATACCCTTGACGAATCCCTCGCAAGCAAAAATCACATTGGATTAAATACGAAAAATGGGATGGTTGGCGTATTTACAAAATTTTTTTTTCCTTCTGTGTCTTATATTCTTCTCAGTGGCAAATGTTCATTGAGATACCATTGCAAGTGTCTCGGTAATGGTTTCTGTGGTAACAAACCGGAAAATTGTCCTGTTGAAAAAAGTAATCATCACACATTTTATTCATTTGTGACCTCAGCAAGATTTCTAACATCTCCAGCTAAATTCTTCAGTGGCACTTAAACGTTATTCGAATCAGCAAAGCTGAAAACATTAAACATTACTGAAATACGCGTAAAGATCTAAATGAATTTATATCTGTTTCAGAATAATGAATCTGATATAGGTTGGACAGTTTATTTGGCATGAATTTTAAAAATATTTCACGGATGTATGATCAACCCTATATTTAAAAAATTTAAAGCATTATTTTTAACAGCCAGCTATAAATTCGCACAAAACATGTAGATTGCTTGATTTGATCATATATGCCCTTGGACATTTTAGACGACGAAGAAGGTATATTTTGTTTCCAGGCGTATTCTTGAGTTCGAAAACTGGAAATAAGTTATTAGTTAAAAAAATAAGATTTAAGCCTTCGTTTTGGCTGACTATACTGCTAGTTTAAAAATCTAAAATTCCCTCGAGTTATTTTATGTGACAGTTATCTCTGCAGTGTAATAAAAATCACACAGATGCTGGCCCAACAGACTTTTAATACCAGTGCATGAAAGATGGTAAACCACTAATTTATTACTGAATTCGTATCGTCAAGGAAAATGAGCTGCTGAAGCATGTACATCAAGCTGGTCTCTTCTTAAAGCGAATGCTGGATAGAAAGGTATGAACCAGTTCCGGCTTCGACGGGTTAAATTTGCTGATAAGAATGTTAACGATCTTGAACTCAAAGCAGAAGCTCGTATATGAAAACGAGCAAGCACTGGTGGATAAAAATACGTTTCCAGCCTCCCTTAAACGGTATGGAGATTCGAGATACCAGCTATCGTATCCTTGGGTCCGGTTTCAAATCCTGATAGTTTAGACGTTTACAAGTGATACTCCTCTTGGAAAGTTTAGTGACAGGGAAAGAGTCGTGGGAAACCTTGGATCGCTCCTGGTAGATTCTGCTTCAAACTTGAGACGGGGCTAGGTAAACCAGTTTTTCTTTCACTGAATCACGAATGTTGCTAGACCAGTAGCTAATTTTTCATTTGAAGTCAGTCTCCTACTTTCTTTCTGCCACGTCATCTACGCAACCACGTCATGGACCATCATAACATTATAGATACATCAAGATATGATGTCATTATCCGTGACGTGGTTACTACGTTATGGACTCATCAAGAACAGCACAATGCTCTAATATATTTATTATGATACTGTCTTCGAGGCAGTCATGCATATAATAGCCTGCTGCGATCAGTAGAAATTATTGCTATCGTTTACTGCTATCGTTTCATGAAAAATATTATTGTTGCGTCCAGAAGAAATACTGTTGTATACGATAAGGACATCTTAAAAATTCTGCTATGGGAGATAGGGCTTCGGCACAAGAACTTTTTATCATAACCTGTGACCACTTAAGACACATCTGTAAACATAGTACTTCAACGATAAAGTGCCCAAGGCCCACGCCAACGACAGACGCACTCCTGCAATAAAATTCGTGGACTTGTTCTGATGATAGTGTCATACAGGTGAGATACATGACAGCACAGGGATCAGTCTCAAATACGAAACGAACTTCCTGAACCACTGGAAGAATTCAACAAAATGCTGTCAATGCTTTACGTGTCATGGGAGAGTTTCATCCAAGAAAATTATATTTTTTGTCAGTGATACATGAAGCGTGCGTTCCGTTACGAATCACTGGAATCAAACCTAACCATTAATACTGATAGTTACAAGCAAACCTTTCTGTGAATGAGCAAAGGAATTTGAAAATTTCCATTGACTAGCAAAGGATTAACTTGAATTAAGAAAGAAAAGAAAATTTCATTTCAGTATTTACAGTTTATTGGTTAATGTTTCTAAAATAGAGAAGTATACGATTATTAAAACATTTTAACTCAAATATAATTGTATAATGATTTATTTTTCCTTATTGATCTTTGATGCAGATTAAGAATTTTCAGTTTTAAGATGCACTTAATGAATGTTAGAATACATTCCTTTATTGACAGAAATAAGTAGGAAATGTTTGTCTCATATCTAAATATATCAAATTAATATGAAAGGTAATATTTTATATTTCATAGACATGCTACTTTCTGAACTGACCTGCATGCATCCTTCGTAAATTCTTTCACCTTTTCTGGATCTTTGACCATTTCGTCATTTATGTCTTTAAAAAGAGATGCTGCGCAGTTCACAGATGTGTCTATGGTTCTTTGGAAACAAGGAAAAAGCTCGATGAACTCTAGCAAAAGAATATATATATATATATATATTTATCTACACTGAAATCTGCAATGATCATTCGGGAAAATGAAGTTCAAAATTCAATAATGTACATTAATGTATATTATCTTTTGCATGACAACATCTGAACACCATATTTATAGTCAATATTTGTTTTATAGTAAATTAAAATTGCTATAATAAAAGATCCACTTTTTTGCATATCTATATTTAAGGAGAAAAAAATACATATTTAATGAGATCACCAAGGCCTGAATTTATGTTGAATATGTCTCTTTTCTTTCATGTCTCATTTTAGGAGTAGAACAGTACCATCAGCCATTCTTTAACCAGTCTAGATTTCCTATAAATCGCATAGAATTTAATAAATGATATGCTATCTTGGAAGTGTAATTCAATTATTTCTGAGATTTAACTGTTTTCATTAATTCATTGTACTTATATTCATTTTCGATTTCCTTTAACAGCGTAAGCAGCTGTGTATTCTGTTTTAATATTAAGGTTTGATATAAAATACATTTACACTAAATATAAAATACAGTCATTTGATAAGATTACTTTATTAATGGCAAATGAACTGTACTTAAATAACAAAAATGAACCATAAGGTATTACAAAGTAGTTGTCTGTTTGCACTAACAAGCAAAACTATCGCACTTTCCGATGATAATCGTCACGACACTTTTAGGGTAATCAGACACTAAAATTCTGATTAAAATAGTAAGTACAGCATGCGACATTTCGCAATAGTCTGTAACTTCCAGAACAAGGCGAATAATATGCTGTGAGCACCAAAATATTTGCCGCCACGTACTGGCAAAGATATTGCATTTGTTAATTGTGAGGTCTTTGTGCAATAAGATGCATTCCTGATAGATGCCATGCTTTTCATATGGCATGTACTGGTCATGCACAAGTACTCATAGAAAACATGGACCTAATATACGTTAAGTAGTCCTTTATATAGGAGCTATTTACCCTATCGGAGCAACAAAAATCCTTATCAGCAGTTGTACGAAAATGCAAAATATTACCGAGCAAAGTGCAATGGTGAGCTACAGTTAAGGATGAGGCAGAGAAATTGGCAGAAAAGCTGAACAAGGCAACAGAACGGAGCGAAAGACCAATTAAGAAACAGGCATTAGGAGCAATTAGAACCGATACAGTAGGGCAGCACAGTTCCATGAGGTTGGAGAGCATTCGAAAAGGCAGGAACAGATATCCCATCGTTCAGCAGTGGTTGTCCACGAGCATCAACGACTGCGGATGATCTGTATATTGTCCTACAGGAGAGATACCCAGCAAACAGTGAGGCAATAGCAAGGCGCATGCAACAGACTACTGGACGTTCGATGTCATGTTTCACAGTGGCCATGAAGCAGTCATATTCTGTATACACGACGACCAGTATGGTGTGTGCCACAGACGTCGGTTTCTGTCGTCTTCTAAGAGACGTCGGTTTCTGTCGTCTTCTAAGAGACGTCGGTTTCTGTGGAGCCGAGAACACGAGAACATAACAGAAGTGGACATAAGAGGACACAGTAGGAGTGGGGGCAAGTGTTCTTTATGCATGAGAGTCAATTTAGTCTGAAGAGCGATTTTGGACCTATACACACCAGGAGAGAGAAGAGAATACGCAATCACCCCTCGAATATCATCGAAAGGGATTGTTTTGGAGGTACCAGAATCACATTTGAATTGCTATAGTGCTTTTTAGCCGTACTGACTTTCACATCTTCCAAGAAAGTTCAGTCAGTGGTGTGCGCTATTGTACCTGGGTTCTCTTGCTTCACGAGCGTCTGTTTAGAGGTCCTGACTGCCTCTCCATGGACAACAACGCTACAGCTCATCTTACAGTAGCTATCAGGGAGCTCTTAGAGAGTGAAGATGTTCAAGGCATGGATCGGTCTGCAAGGTTATTGGTCTTAAATCTCATAGAACATGTGAGGACATTTGAAAGCACGTTACCAGACGCCAGAAACAATTCCGCAGCCGAAATTGGCGCTACCAAAGGAATGGGGAGTGATATTTCAACAGCTCCTTGGCCCTCAGCATGAACAGACATTGTAATCCCTGTATCCCAGTCAAGGTAACAGTATATATGTAAAATGGACGTACTTGTAAGATATCACATTGGGGTTAGAGTGACACAAGCGCAAAAAAAAGCAGTTTCCCTGTCAACACAAATCAAATTACCTCGCTTTTGGTTTAGGCTTCTGTGTACTTTCATTTGGAATACAGTGTATGCAAGAGCTAGGATTTAGGAGAGAGACAATGACAATCATTATAACCAAATTAGTATTACCATCATTTTTATCAGGACATTATATTTAGGGTTCCTGTGTCTTTCTGCCAAATATCGAATATCAAGACCAGGCTGTTGTGAAAGGCTTAAGACAATATGCTTGCTTATACGACAATATGCTTTGATTATTTGTTCATTCAGACATTACTTTTTACTCTATCGTACTGTGTGCACAATCCAAAGAAACTGCAAAACTACTTGAAAAAGATACGCTCATTCACAGTTAAAATTATGATTTTCTGAAATTATTGTGTAAAATAGATCCTGGATAATATTTTCACATTTTCCGTAAAAGCTAAAATACTCTTCAGATGTTTCTCGTCAACCAAAAATGAGCATTAATATTGATTTAGGTCTTTAATAAAGCGAGATGGCATATAGCGGAGGATAACTGCATGAAACAAATGAGAGACTATTGACTTGCATGTAATCTGAACGTATGTAATTTCAAGAGAAAATGATTCACTTGTAAACTAATTTAAATTTCAAATTAAAGATCATTATTGTATTTTCCATACTTAAAATACCACTTTCGGCAATGTGAGACAGGCATGGTTTGATCTTAATCCCTTACTTATAGTATTTAATTTATGAACGGAGGTCATCAAAAATAAGGCTTTTTCTTCTTAAACTTTTAACGTTAAATTCTGGAGAAGATACGCCTGTAAAAGAATAATCCTTATTCTGGCAGAAGAATTTCTACATTTATTGTTCTTTTATAGAAAGTTTACTATTACAAAAAGTTCGCTTTTAAGGCACTGAAAACTTCCTGTCTTGTTCAGTCTTCGTTTGCAAATAACCTGAAACCTGAGTTTACATTCCCGTGTACAGGATATCTATGCATACGGAAAGGTATCCAAACTTTGAGTCCGCTAAAAGTCTGGGTCTACAGCGGCTTTGCAATCTATAAGGAACAGTCAGACACGAAATTTTACGAAATATCAAAAGTACGTAATCTATTTACAATATATCTCCATGCATTTATTTATAAATATGTTATGGCTTCTAGCTTAGATTTTATTATTATTATTATTATTATTATGCGCTCTACCCTTAGGCACTACGCGAAAAGGCAGGGATACCCCGTGAAGGTCTTTTTAAGGAAAACTGGACCGTATCCCCATTATTCATGGGAAAAAACATGAAAAAGCTCATGTAACCAGCCCGTTCACCGGGACTCGAACCCCACACCGAACTACCAGTATTCAGCGGCTTTTATTGCTCGGCCGCTAGTGTGCCTAAATTAAGGTATTAGCATATATAAGGTTGTGGGCTTCACAGGTAAAGTAAGTTAGCAAACTTCATCCTAGCATGAAATTAGGTACTCTGTCAGAAATATGCAGAAGAAAGGACACTTATCCACTTTTTAGACGTTCAATCTGAGAAGTAACATATATTAATAGGAGAATCAACAGGCGGTACTGAGTGTCTATCCGTTCCTGCTCACCTAGCTCAAATGGCTAATATTTATTAACCAGTTATTTTATTATTTTTGCCTTTATTAACAGTTGTATTTTCGTCTGCTCAGCCCGGAACACAAATAAATAATTACATTAATACAGAATTCGCTGACTATCTCGATAGTGTTTTTTTTTTTTTCCTCAGCTTCTGAATTTTCTTAAATTCTGTTACAACTTTCAAAGCCCTATTTAGTAACGTTTGCTGAGGGTCTGAGCCGAAATCTGTAGAAGTGGTTTGTTTTGTTAAGTCTAATATTTTTAATACTTAAATTCTGTGCCTGTTAATCAGCCAAGTAGCAAAGACTTTTCTTTTGTAACACAAGCTGTATAAATTGTTAGGGTGAAGAAATAATAAAAAATTTAATTTAATTTTATTTATTTTTTTTTATTTATTTATTTTATTTTTTATTTTTATTTATTTATTTTTTTTTTTTTTTTTTTTTTTTTTTTTTTTTTTTTTTTTGTTTTTTGTTTTGTGTGTGTGTGTGTGTGTTCAATGATTCTTCATTGGAAGAACAAGACAGGGCGGAGATTGCCTGACACAGATCCAGGGTTAACATTTATATAAGTAAGTTTCTTTACAAATTTTGTTCCTGAAAATGGTACCAACTGGCATGAACTTCAGTGCAGGTAATAAGGCAAAATGAGAAGTAAAATATAGTTACTTAGTTAATCAAAAAACAGAAAACTTTCGAATTTCAGGCATTACTGACAGAAGCTATACATTATTATTATTATTATATCACAATTGTTATATTCTGTTAGAAATTCTGTAGCATCATTAGAATAAATTTTATTTCTGTAGCAGGGCCTTTCCTAGGCCATCGGCTGCCCTGCGTACTTTCCTAAGATTGCTGAACCCCAAATTAAAAAAAAAAAAAAATGCTCATTGATTAATAAAATTTTTATTTCATGCTCACTAAGTACTTACATATAACAAATTGCATAAAAAGTACTTACATATGACAAGTATTTAAAATGAATTTAATGAATTTAAAATATTTAGGCTGTGGTATCGCAAGAGTGCAGTCGCCCCTGATTTTCGCCCCCCGCGTACTTTTACGCACTGCACCCCCCTAGGAATGGCCCTGTTCTGTAGTACCGTAGAGTTGTTACCATGCTTTCATAAGATTGTAGTACTGTCACAATACTTATGTATTATTGTTTTACAACAGTTCTCTATCCAGTTATTCTCTATCTCTATTAAATATTGATAGAAGTGTAGACATATTTACATTAAACGTGGTGAAGTAAAAGTTATCACACCGAATTAAATGCATTCAGTCTTTTTCATACACATTTTATTAGTACGGAAAACTTGAAAGGATTTTAATTTTTAATCATAGCTTTAATACTCTTTCACTTCTGGCACTTCATTTTATACCCAATATACTCTTTGGCATTCAAGTCATGCAGCTATGTTAATCCACTTCATTTTTCGCGGTCCACTATTCGAATCCGTTTGAGCCAATAAACGGTCTTAAAATGATTACCGTAAATACAATGCTAAAGTGGGAAAAAATGTGATTTGTTATTACAATATGTTAATATATTACTTAACTTAATGTAATTGTATAAATCGACTACTGTGTCAAAATTATGAAACAGTGGTAGAATTATTTGCCCCCTCCCAACCAGTATAGTGGTTAGCGACACAGACGGCCGTACCGAAGGGTCCGGCTTGAATCCCAAAGGAGGCATGGATGTTTGTAAACGTATATTGTCTGTACTGCGTGGGGGAACTCTAAATATGCATCGAGCAGAAAATTCTCTCAAAAAAATTGGTGGCAGGGAAAGAGGGGTGGGAGACTCTCGAACCCCCCCTCGAATATACTTCCTCAAAATGGGGGGGGGGACTGAGCAAAGTCGTACTGTCACTTGTATGGTGCTCGAGGCTATTGCCAATGACAGGCGCAATCTTGCACTCCTTGCCAGGATGAATTTCGTGGGCTCGTTCTGACATTATTGTGAAATACGTCACAAGAGCAACAAACAATCAGAGCAGAATTGTTTGGAACCCGAACTACAAAGTCTGTCTTTATTAAAATTAAGTTTTGTAATTGCTGTCATAGATCCATAAAAGAACATTTTCGTACTAAATCTAGTTACCTAGTTTTCTGCTGCGTTAAGGTAATTATCGAAAGCTCGCAAAGAAAAGCACAATATAATGTTTTGCGGGAATATTAAAACACAACTTATATTTTAACTGAAGCACTCTAAAATTTTAGCTAAAATATCATTGTACGGAAGCAGCCTAAAGTATTTGGAGTATATAATATAGTTTCATTTCAATCCTGCATAAGTATTCAACTCATGCGAATCGATAATTGAACATAAGTCAGTAGTGTAGTAATAGATAATCTAATCGATAACTCAGCTGATGTCAGTAGCAATCCGAATCTGCAATTTAATCGATAACTGTATAAAGTTCTAGTTAAAATAGTGGCCTTGGTAACTAGGATCTTGGGAAAGAGTTTAGCGACTATAAATACTCTTATAACTACAAAGTCCAGGGAAGGGTTAAAATACCCTTTTATCCCACTCACAGAATAATAATACAGATGGCCCTTCTCGGGGTTACAGTAAAGAACCTCCACCTGTGCCTTTACTTAAGATGTGGCTCCTTTGAGGGTTACAGTAAAGCTTCAGAAACTTAGCCGAAGCAGCACAGAAATAAATAACCGAGTTGGAGCATAATTAAACCTCAACAGAGACTACTAATATTTACGTATTGACCTCGGCGGCAGAACTCGCTGTACTGAGAACTTCTGAGCTCTTCTACGGATGTGACTAACTTCCCATCAAGTACTAGTTCTACTTCATTTACATAGACGCGATGCTGAAAACTCATTCTAGCAGAGAGTTGTAGATGGGAAACAAGAATTTAAAGGAAAGGGTTTCAAAATTAAAAATAACTATTACAAAATTCCCTGCAACTGAAGTGATGCTAATTCTCTTGTTTCGTGTAAATTTGCAGTTAATTATAAGACTCCTTCTTTTAATCAAATTTATCCAAACATACAGAACATCAACTCTCCCTTGGCTGAATTTTGCTTCCATAGAACAACAAAGTGGTTCCCATGCATAAAAGAGAAACTTGTGAGTTGAAGCTTAGTGCACATGTAAAGAGAAACAACCTTAGACGTAACACTAATACATAATTTTCAGTAGAATTAGCCTTAAAGGCTTATTTCGAAATTTTAGTCCGCCACTGTGCGTATGTTTCATTACAGGGTTATATCATCGGATTTAGAAACTTACGATTGTTTCGAACAATGACAAAAACTTCGCACGTTTTGCAAATGTTTGAAATACTAGGCTTTTTATTTATCTTATCTATCAAATACCTCGTGCATAATCACTTCTCATAATGCTGCCATTCAGAAAAGTAATAATATTTTTAATTTTTCTTTCGGATATAATCATTCTGTAATAGCTTACTAAGTGGTTTAAAAGCAATAAATACATTTCTTAAACTTTTAACCCTTATTTTATTCCTTACTTGTATAACATAGTACTAATATAAAGTACAAAAGAATAAAATACATTATTGTAACTAATAAAAACCGTTATGCCCTACATTCTAAGACTATGTGTTACGCTTTTGATATAAATTTGCTTTTCCTTTAATTTTATTTAAAATTTCGATTTCTGCAAAAAACAAAATTATATTTTTTAAATTATAAAAAAGTACAAAACGCTTACTTTTATTATTTGCCGAACCTTCTTTACAGATATCCTCGAGAACAGAAATGAATTCCTTTAAATTTGGATCCTCCTTTCTTTGACATGCTTTTTCTGCAGTTTGAACACATTCCACTACTATACGGGCCACTCTGAAAAAACCTTACAGTTAGTTAAAATATATTTCGTATATGGAGTGCAATCTTCTGCATAAATAAAGAAGTGTGATGGTACGTTTGTCTTTCAGAGAAATCTACAGTTTTATTCGGATTTTAATTAAATTTGGCACACTCGACCTTCACAACAAGAGAAAGATCACTGTCTACTTCAGATTTCTCGAAAAACAATCAATAGGATCTGCAGTTTTCATATGAATGTACACTCTTTTGCAAAAAACTCGAAGCACCATGAAGGAAGCGGTTGTTTTTGATGAAACTGAATATTTGTATAGCTCATACACAGATAATAAAATGATTAAAAAAATCAAGCTCATAGTACCAATTCACGGCTCACAATCACCCATTAAGTGTTCAAATTAGTAGTTGGTCGAATAGCCCTGGCGGCAATGCATGCTTGAACTCGTCGAAGCAGAGAGCGGTAGAAGTTCCTAATGTCATCCTGCGACACATTCTGCCAGGCATTCATCAGTTGTCGCTCCAGATCTGCGATATTTTGTAGTGCCCGAATCTGGCGGCCTAGCATGTAATGCAACCGGCCGCAGAATAGTATCAACATATCGTTGAGCTGTTAAAGATACACGGAGGATGATTAAAGATGAACTGCTGTCATAAAAAATAGCGCTCCACACCATCACACCAGGGGTTATGGCTGTATTCCTTTGTAAAACAAAGGCTGATTGGGACCGCTGGTCCCGTTCTCTCCAGACAAAACACGGCGGTCATCTGCTTTAAGAGTGAAGCGGGATTCACCACTGAACACAATACGATGCCAGTCTGATCGCAGCCATGATGATCGGCTGCGACACCACTCCAGACGACTCCGCTGATGTTGTGGGGTCAAAGGCAAACGTCTTAAAGGCTTCTGTGAGCGTAATCTCGCCTCAGACAAGCATGGTGATATGGTGGACGGTATCACGGGAGGTATAGACGTGGCTGGTAGTGCGTTGAATATCCGACAATGATACCGTTAGGGCGGTTAGGGGCGAGATAAATTTTCCACCTCTGTTACTTGTTTTATACTTTGCGAAACGCGCGCTAGAAATGCGCTATGATCGCAATTCCTGTTCAAGGCGCACTAGAAACTTTGATCATTTGCATGTTCGATTAATATGTTTTTGCGTACCAAATTTCGTCACGATCGCAAAAGTCCTTCTTGGTGCTTTTATTTTTTTGCAAAAGAGTGTAATTTAACGGACTTTTAATTAAAAACTCAGCGATTTAAAAGCTTCTGTTGCTTTTCTGCAAATTATAAGGTATTTATAATTAAAATTCAATCAGAAAACTCGGCGATAGGAAAGAAGTCTATTGCCACTCGTCAAAACGTAGTATACCTTTCGAATGCCTTTCTTTTAACAAAATGCCTTTCGACTTTAATAAAGCGATTACTGCGATTTAAAAGAAAAGTTTCGCCACTGCTCAGATTAAAATATTTTAAGTGTAATATCGTCTAAGCGGAATCTTTTCATATGGGGAGGCTACTAGGAGTGGAAGAAGGTGAGGGCGCCATCTGTAACACAAACATTTTGCAGCGTATGAGAGAGCTCCCTCAATGTAGGACGCATTGTCGCAAGCTATTAATGTGTTCCATCAGGTGGTTTGGTGAGCACTTCGAGAAGAACGAATGCAGTCGTGAAAAAAGTTTGCACATCTGATCTTCAAAACAGGAGGAGCGTCTCTGTCTACACAAGATTTCGAAAAACCACATCCATAGGGCTCACACTCTGCGTTTATATTATAACGGTACATTCACGTCACCCATCTGTGTATACATTGCCTATTTTAGGTTCACGTTGCCGTTATTGTTTACTCTTTAGCAGTGGAAGTCATATATGCTAAGGGAGGAATTCTTAATTGTTTTTTACAAAAATAAATATTAATATTTCTACATAGCTTCAATTTTAAAATCCTGTCTCCCAACCATAGTTTCACTTCGCTATTGTTGCGTTCCCACTATCAGTTCTTACTAAAACTGCTAGATTGTACCATGTTCGTTTACTATTGAGAAGAGTGTAAAACTTTCCAGAAGAATGAAAGGTCTTTAAAGCAGAATTTAGGTGTGATTCTCATTAGTGTTCGTGAATAATTCGAAAACGGTGGAGAAATCAACCAAAGTGGATAGTTATTTTCTCCCAAAAAGCCATAACCGATAATAAAGCATGTATCAGTTCTTAGTAAAACCGTTAAATGGCGCGATGTTAATTATCTCTTTAAAAGAGTGTAGAACTTTCTAGACCTTCGTAGAATTTTTAGAGCAGAATTTAAATACGCTGTCTATCAGCTTTTCGCGAATAATTCGAAAAACGTACCTCCATACCTCTAAATGAAATCTCTTCAAATTACATAAATCCTGAGCAGTGCCGGGTACTTCAGCTAGTGATGAATACAGTTCAGTTTCTAGAGTTTTTGACACTTGAATTATTGTTTTCATATGTTCAATATAAGATATCGCACAGCTCAAGTTTCAGATCATGACAGATAACAACTTAAAATTATATTTTTCGAGATAATTACATAAGGATGAAGTAGCTGGGAAAGATGTCTCAAAAAGGTTTCATACATCAGTATCTAATCTGTACATAAAGTACCATTAGAAAACAATCTGGAAATTGGCATTTTAAATACTGAAGCCGTTTTCAAAGTTTTTGATAATTAATTACTGTATTCTCCCGCAATTATACAGGAAGAGACAGAAATATGGTCTGCATTTCATCGCATCAAGAGATAACAGTATTACGACTTAAGATTTCAGGGTGCCAGAAGACAATGAATCAAAATGCATGATTCTAATTTGAAACGCTGTGCACACTTTAAATCTGCACAGCTTTATATGTTTCATGCATCCTGAAATTATAGCTTTGCAAATTTAAATGTAAATATCACATTGTACGCAGAAAGATAACTAAGAAAATTTCAGGATATCATATCGCTGAATAATAATATTTAGCAAAATTCTGCTTTGAATGTTGTAAACATTGTCATGGAAAATTTGTAACTAACTGATTATCAGATAATTAGCATAGGTTAGTCTAGTAATATGAAAATTCATTCAAGACGGACATCTGATTATTTAGGACCAAAAAAAATTGAAGGTTTAAATTAAAATCTCCATTAAATAACCTATTCGTATACGATTATGTCTACTATCAGTAAAAACGTAAAATTTTTATCTCCTTTGTTTATTGCATTTCTTGAACGAACAAAATATTTTGTAGATGAAGAAACGGAAAAGAACATTTCGGACAGATAATGATATTTACATTATTGCTTCTAAAGAAGAAAAATGTGTAGAAAATTGAAAACATTTCTCTCCGGAGAATACTCCAAATTCAACGTTACTTCTTCTAGACACCTGATTTTCTGTCAAAAATCAATATTTTATTGAAAGTCATCTCTCAGACAAAAATATCCACCATCCTAATATTTTCTCTAAAAACTGCATCTCTAATTCAACTTCTTGACATACATGAATTTCAAATTTGAAAAAACGTTTTTAGGAAATATTCTGATGTAATAATTTAATATCTTTCATATCAGTTGTTTCAACGAAACAATACAAGCTATTATAAGCAATCAGCAGTTCTTTCATCAGCTAGCGGCAAGAATACGTGGAAGTATTTGTAATATTTGTAACACCATCTACAGGTACTGACAATCTAGAAATTTGTAATTCGATGCAAATCGCGAAATGCAGCTGGTGTAAAACATATAACTGTTTTGATATCTTTTATTGTGATTTCATCTATGTACTTCATTCAGTTTATGTACATCAGTAAAAGATATCTTTCTAAATAAGTTAATTTCCCCCTCCTTTCGGCATACCTTCGTGGTCTAATTGGAAGCATACTCAACTTGTATTCGAGAGGTCCAGCGAGTCCTGCTGAGGATATTGTTCATTTCTCACTTCTCCTGCTTCAAACAAACCTAATGATTATACATCATATGTACACTTTTTCAAAAAAAAATTAATACTTGAAAGTTGTGGCACCTTCTTTGCAAGGACCGATTGCAAACGTTCCAGTAAATTCCATATTCAGCCCTTATTTTAATTAAACTTCTGAGTATGCTAACTTCTTTCATTATTTTTACTAATTTATTTTCTTAAGCAATTGTATGATAACACAACTAATTTGTCCGTTTAACAAAAGGCATGAAATTTTTGAAAATTTATTACTAGTATAACCTGTGATGACGCATCATACAGATAGCACCATTAGATGTAATATTAATCAAATTATAAAAATAATACATAACTTTTGTAGTTATTACTTTAATAAGAGAACAAAGATTAGCCAAGTGCATATTTGCCGGATAAATAGGGTCATTAGATGTAGTATTAATTTAAAGTATAAAAATAAAATGAAGTTTTTGTTCAAAACTGTTGGGACATATTTGAAAAGCTCTATTTTACATCTATATTAAAAAAAAGTTCACTCTCCAAATACTCACTTGCAAGGATGGCTGTCTTGGCCAAACAAACTTGGGAGCATTAGGCATTGTTGAAATTTTGAAGTAAGACATACGTCTTCTTCACAGAATACAACTCCAAAGAATGCTGAAATAAATAAATTAAATTTATATAAAACAGATCCAAAAATCAATTAGCCATTCAAAATATTTTTTCTTCATTGACTGTTTAAATAAATGTAACATAATCAGCGCAAGAATGCATTTATTAATCTGACTGTTTCTCAAAATACTTATTGTGTTGTCAAAGCCTCCATTCGGGCTTGAACTCAAAATAAGAAATAAGAACTACATTAGAACTAATTAAAAAAGACTTAGCCGAAGCTAACACAAATCTAACGTAGTTGGCCCTTAATTTAAACTAGCCGGTGAATTTCAATAGGCACATAATACGTATATGGCAGAGCGTAACAGCCTCTAGAGAGATTTAGTCCGAAGGCAAACACGCGCTACTCAGGATTCCAAGCTCTCTTTGACGAAGTATGTTGAACCCTCCTTAATTACTATTCTAACTCATTTGCACTCAAAGCGATTCTAAAAATCCCATTCTGGTAGGGAGTTGTAAGAGGAAACAAGAATCGATAGGAAAGCACATCGAAATTAAAACAACTATTATAAAATAAAATATACCTTACAGTGTTAAGTTTCTAATATTAATTTTTCCACTCGATGACGTTTCCCCTTTAGCAGATCATAAATTATCTCAGAATTAATGCTGAATGTTGCAATCATTATTATCAAGTATTATTTTAAGACGTACTAAGAAATTATAGACAGCAAGAAAGCAATATTTGTGTAGAAATCATCAGTGGATGCTGTGGAATGGTGTCTTCTTTTGGGTGATTTAGTACACACCATAGCTTTAAGTAACCCCGTATAACCAAAATTCAAGTATTTCACGACGGGTTATTTTGCGTGCTATTTGTGCTTAAACTGATTGGTCTAACTGGTGGCCTGTGAGCCGCATGTGATCCCCGAAGCAATTTTATCCGGTCTGCTAACACATTTTCCGTAAACTAATTAGCATTATGACAAGAATTTTAAGAAAACGTTAGATTTTAATGGTTTACAGAACCTTAAGAGGGTTACCGGTACCATAAATCCTACTCAAACTATTCGAACCCGATTCTACCATGTGGGATTGTATGCTCGCAGATCTAAAGGTTTGTGTTTCGTTGACACAGGACCACTGTGCTGCCGGCAGAAGGCGGGGCAAATGAGCGTCTCAGGTGGAGATGAAATGAGTGGAGCAACATTATCTTCACACACGAGTCTCGCTTTAGTGTACAACCTGGTAACAGGCGGATTCTTATCTGCAGAGAAGCTGGTACACGGAATACTCCTGCATTTGTGTATGAAAGTGTCTAGTATGGAGGAGGCGTAGTTATGGTCTGGGCCAGTATTTCTGTCAATGGCCGCACCGACTTGCATATAAGGATGAAATCCTGAGACCTATTGTATTTCTTTACGCTGCAGCAATCGGGGAGGAATTCATTCTCACGGATGGTAATGCCAGGCCACATCGTGTTCAGTGAACAATTTCCTTTTCGACGAAGGAATCCTTCGAATGGATCGGCCACCATGTTCCCAGATATGAACCCAATAGAATATATTTTGGGACATTCTAGGGAGGAGGGTTTTAGTCGCTTATCACCTCCAGAAACAATTCAGCAGTCCCTCATTAATTCCACGCCTGGTAGGTGTGCGATACTGTTTTCGATCAGGGGCCCCTTCTACCCTTTATTGAAACTCATTTGTATTCGAGAACACATTTTTGTTATATGGTATAATATGCATAAATTGTGCACTTTTTGTTTACTGACAAATATCGTCAATAAAACATGATTATTCCTTGTTCGTTGTTTCTTTTCTTTTCTCATATCTTACATCACCAATACTTCATACATCAGTCACCTAAACATTTTCTTATTTTTATTTATTTAATTTATTTCCGAAGTCATAATATACCGTAATTGTTCTGAGCAGTGTATATTTGCAAGCAAAGAACAGGTCTTAAGTATTTTGCAAAAACGTAACGGATAATAAATGTAATTTTGTTAAAACTAATATGTACAGAATTTTTCCTTTCATTATACTCGCTAATTTTTAATAATTTTTTAAACTGTGACCGTTTTTCAATTATTAAACGATTTTTATAATTTTTTCAATGATGTTGGATTCCACTGGTTTTGATAAGTAGGAATTTTTTTCAGAGTATCTTTATTATTTTTCTTAAATATTATTTATTTCTGTAATTTTTACAACTTGATAAAAATTACCTCAGTTCTTAAACAGCTTTAAAGAAGTAAGATTGATATAGCGTAGTCTTTAATTTTTCAAAATGATAATTGTAAGCTAAAGGAAACACTTCGTTCATGGCAAAATACGGCATACACCTAACAAAATTAATTTCTAGCTACACCACAGTTTCAGGCCTTCTAAAGAGGTTTGAGAAAAAATCATTTTCGTAACAAGTGACACTTACAGCAAATGTGCAGTCAACTCACCCTCCTTTAACCATACCATTCAACTCTTCTGTATATGTAGATAAAAATAATATCACCAGAAATAATGAAACAAGATGTCAAGCTTAGTTTAGGGATATTTCTAGTGTTCATAAATAACATATATAATATTAGCTCATATGCTTTAATAGGTTTATTTTTTAACACAGAGGAAAAGCAGGGAGCACTCATTCTGTTCTTTATAATTATAAAGCAAATTATTTGTAGACTGGATTGCTCTCATCAAATTTTAACCATCAAGTAAATCGGACTCTTTTTCTTTCATTTTCGGTTATTTCTGTGAAGAAAACTGAGGTACTAGGTCTATCGTATCGTCATATTGAAAGATGAAAGATGTCCATAAATAAAAAATAACATGTACGTTAATTGTATGTGAGTTCGACGTGGATCGTTATATCTTTAGAATCCTGAACTCTCATCATTGCCAGTTTCATAAATGCATTCTTTAAAAAATATACAGTATTATCGCTTGTTGGAAGACGATTAGTTAAAGTCTTTTTTTGTTTTATTCCCACATGCATACTATTGCATTCATTATTACTATGTACATTTCTGGGAGAAAATACCATTGGTGGAATTAAATTAAAACAACATTCGGCATAAAATTCAAAAAACAGAAGATATCAGTGACCATTTTCGTAATAATTGCGTATCTCGTGTAAATGAGGTGAAATTAAATGTCGCAATCAACTTTCTTTCTGAAATATTCTTTGTTTCCGAAAAGAAATGAAAACGTATGTTAAGAACAAAAAAAAGTTTTGAAGCTTGAACGTTTTTGAACCTACTAGCACAAAAGCATGTAGTTCTCTTGGGGGGGGGGAACAATAAAAGAAACAACAGAACAGCTATCCTTTTAGCTTAGATTTCTTGATTTTTAAGTGAACAGTTCTGCGCATAATTCCGCTCATCGAACACACCTAATTTATTTAATATTACTTATTAAAAAATAATAGCTATTCTCCAGTTTTAATTGGCTGTTTGTTGCCAAAGTATATGCTTCATGCGCTTAATTTACATTAGTTTTGAAATTTAAGTTTGAAATTCTTTCAGCATATAAACAAAATTTTCAATATGAAAACTTCAGATTGTTGTTTAACAGATTATAATCGGAGAGATTCCATTAAAATTGGAAAATAAAAAATAAATACAAAAAATGAAATAAAAGTACGAAAGTAAAAAAGAAAATTATTTAAAAGAAATCTAATGTGTACACCACATGACTTCCCTGTACGGAACATTAAATTATAGGCATTTTTTCTTGCATTTCATTTAAACTTATTGGATTGAATCAATCTACTTCTTCGATAGCGTATAAACCACAATAGAATAAATGTGCTCTTTAAAATTCACTTTAGTATTTGTTTACCATAGCGACACTCTGGCGCTAGGTTCACTTAACAACGTTACATTTCGTTCATATTATAACTCAGAATGCATATAAATTTATATCATTTGAAGAATTATCTAATCATTGCCACATGCTCTGTTCAAATACTATAATAAAGCTAGAACGATGTATAAAAGAAATTAAGAAAACAAAACAAAAAAGAAACAGTTTTTCGCAGAGGACTGAGTATTTCTCATTCAATTAATTCAGTTCTCGCCTCGCAAAGGCAAAAATACATAAAAACTGAAAATATCTACATTAAAAATTACGAAGTAAATCTTAAACACTTATTTCCTCGAATAAATTCCAGAATGGATTAAACATGATTTAATTCACAATAATAAAAGAAGGCGTTATCTTTGTTGTATCGAAGCTTAGTTTCTCTAGATTGGCAACAAATCCGCTATTTTGTCAAGTTTAAAATGTAAACAAACATGTCCGCCACCGCAAAATTAATTAGGGTTAGCTGCACATAAACAACTTTTAAATTGTTGATACCTCTACAAATATTAGATTCACATTTACTAAAGGCATAAAAACCTGAACCGGAAGATAAGAACAACGTAATTCAATCATTTTTAAAGCAAAAAATGCACAACTTACAAACATATAAGCGTAAAGAAACTGAGTCTCTGAGCCGGTTAACAGAGTGGATACATATATAGTTATATACGTTTGGTGAGGTCGATTGCAACCAAAATACGAGGTGCACATCTACATGTTATAGCAGTCATATATACAAAATTTCAATGTTCTGAGGCTACTCGTTTTTGAGTTATGCGAGATACGTACGTATGTACAGACGCCCCGAAAAATTATCTTCAGAATTCATTTTAAATCAGTTTCATAATTTTTTGGAGGGAAAACAAGTTCTTTATTTTGTCCTTACGTACAGATGTCACGCAAAAAAATTGTTAAATTGCATTCGATAGCGGTCAAAATGAATATTTTCGTTGAAATATGATGCCTAAAAATTTTCGCGATTACAATACTTCCTTTTTACTTCGTACAAGGCAGTAAAAATGGGAAAAAAAGAAAAGTCTGAAAGGGCTCAGAATTTATCGGTAACCCAAAAAGGTTTGTTAAGGTTTTCCTGCGCTCTCGCTGAGCTCGCAGTTTATCAGTCTTCTGTTGCAATCACTCCTGCTAGCCCATTTCTTTTTGTCTTTCTATCTTTAAATATTAAGAATAAATTTCTTCGCACTTAAAAACCATATACAATTCAAAAGCAAAATTGCAAAAATTTTAAAAGCACCATGTGTTTAGAATTCCAAATGAAGTGTTAAGTGGCGGCATATATTTTCTATTTTTTAAATATATTTTCAGTTTATCATATCAATGTACAGTTTTCTTAGTAAGATGGCTTTCAAAACTTTTCTTTTGTCTTTTTAGTATTAAGGTTTCATGTGTTAAATTTATTAATTGAATATCCCGTTCTTCGCACTTACGCTAAATAAAATGCAGTTGAATAGCAAAATAACAAAATATTTAAAAACAGCATATCTTTCTGATGTACAGTCTTGTGCGCTGGAAATAACAAAGTTATATGCCGAGCAATGTTCCCAATGCTCGGTTTCATACCTTTGAATTTGTTGATTTAATTAAAATATGAAATATGAAATTCGAAATTCAAATTCGGCCTTCCAAGTACACATGTTAAGGTGGAGGTCTACGTGACTCAGAATTTGATGTTTCTATGTACAGTCGTCTTTTCACAATGCGAGAAATATATATACATTCAGGCAGATTCTTCATTATTTAATTTCTTTAAAAGTAATACAGGGCGATAATATTTCGTGGCAACAATCTGCAAAGTGGTTGAGACACTTAAAGTGATACGCCACCAAATCCCATTTCGAGAGACTAATAACATATTTGGGCTAATGTCCTTTCAGGCTAAGAATCTTTGTATGCAGTTTTTAGCTTTATACCTGAAATGTCTTTCAAATTAATCAAGGATGACCGACTTACGAATTTAAAAATAGTTCCACAGAAATAAAAGATGCAAAACACAAAAATTTATATTTTAAATGAGCTGCTCTCAAAATGGCAAAACCAAGAGAAAACGTCAGAACTCTTATTATATAATTTCATTGTAAATTACCACAGTTTAAAAACTTGTGCATTTATTTAATAAAGAAAAAAAACTTTTATCATTTGACGTTGTATTTATTTCACTCAGTTTAACTTTTGTTTTTGCCAAGACAGGAAATACCGGAAATACAAAATGATTCTTTGAAGTGTGTTATGAAAGATAATATTGTTCATTATGGAATTAATTCCTAAATATTCAAGATTTTTTTGATCTTTTCATGCACTTCTCGCGTTATTTTAGACACGGTTAATTACTCAGATATTGCTCAGCCCGGGTTATAATTTGTTTTAGGAACTATAAACTTCTTATTTTGTCATCTATTGTAACAATGTATCGTAATAAAGAAAAAAAGTTAATTCTTACCAAGGGAAAATGGAATTAACCACTTCATAACTTCAGCGTCCCAATTCTCGTTTTACGAAATGAAATAATAACGATGCACCTTGCGACAGCTTTTTTAGCGGCCGAATAGAATTCAGTAATCGTTACAGCGACATATTATATAAAAGATGCAATCAATAAACTTCGTATCTTTAATAACCTTCGCTCTAAAAGATAAGGTACTTATTACTAGCTATTAATCATTCAGCTGAACGCGAAAGTATTTCAATAATAGATTGTAAACAGAAATAAATTAAATAACAAATATAAAACATCTTGCAGATTTTAAGACTTACTAGCGATCTGCGGCCAAAACAAAATATATAAATTCTGTATACACCTGAAAAGCAAATGCGTAAAAATATTTCAGTATGAATAAAATCTGTTCATTCTTTCCAAGCAACAACTAATTCGTAAATAATTTTTTGTTGCCAAACCAGGAAACAAAAAACATTTGACACTTTAAATTAATGCATAGAACGTCTCGATTTAATGTAATATAACAACATTTTTTTTCAATATTAATGAAAGAATTAACGTGGCAATAACATATCGTGTTAATCATCCTAACCCGAAACAAAAAAGTATCCAACAATATCTATATAAGAAATATATGCAGTTGTTTTATTTATTTACATTGATTTTTACTATCAAAGAGAGGTCTGCGGTATGCGGTTACGGTTATATTACTATCTATTTTATAGTAATATGGCAAAGTGCAAATACATGCACCACACTTTAGCATCCCAAATGTTATTTCTGATTCAGAGAAATACTTCTAAATTATAAAACTCTCATTAAGTAAAATGATTTGCGTATTTTTTGTGTTTAAATTAAAATTAAACTATTAACTATATAAAAAATATCTGCATTCTTAATTTATTTTTATTAATTGCATCAAGCTCTGCTAGCTTTTACAAAACATTACAGTACAAAAGTTTATTCGTTTTCTAATCTCTGCAAACGGCCTTCAGTTTTGAAACATTTAAGACATCATAGCAGGTAAAATTCTGCACAATGAGTACATATACAGTGACGAGCCAAAACATGACCATCCCACATTTTAATGAACTCACCTGTATGACGTAGAGAGCACGTAATTAAGTGGGAATGATATTTAATTGCTGCTGGATAACATTCTTGAAATTCTTGAGGAATCATTCTTGATTTTGCTTTTGCGAATGATGGGAAAGGCTGTTGATCCAAGAGAATTTGATAGGGGACATATTTTGATTGCCCTAAAACTCAGAACGAGTATCGCCGAAATTACACTACTGGTATGTTGTTCACTGGTGGAATACCGCATGGGAGTTGTACTTGATAGTGGAGTGCCGCTTGGTGTTTGGAGGTTTCTTTGTTTGCCACCGTTTCAGTAGAATTACGATCACTTGGAATTTAGTCCGACAAATCTTGCTTCTAATGGAGTTTTCCCAAACCAGCACATAATAAATCGTCTGTTGATGGCAGGGACATAGGTGGCTGAAAAAAACCTCTTTTGCTTGCTCGAATTCTGAACCATTCAACGTTAGTGACGAGCAGGGTCGTCGAGGAGTACCGCAACACAATTTCATTGATAAATACTGACCTTGCTGGAGCAAAGAGAAAATTGCTTGAAGTGGAAACGACTTTAACGGAACTGAGAAATCCCGAAGCTTTCAATGCTTTTTAGGACAGTTTTTCCGTTCAGTGGCATTCGATTCCTCTTACCTCTCCACATATCGGTGGCATATAGGAAAGTTGAATTAAACCTGTGAAATTTCATCTCAGAAGAGTTACATGAGAGACTGTGGTCACATTTGATGAGATGGTTGCAAACATATTAAGTTCAGATTTACTAACTCCTTCTTATTTCTTTGTAGGAGAAACTATTTATGGTGTTACCAGTACTGTTATCGAATATAGCTGTCAAGACCTTCGTTCCAGGTGGAGTCTGCTGCAAAAATAAAGCAGGGATTCAGGAGGAGATGTTTTATGAATACCTACATACCTTGCAGTCTAAATCAAAATGGATAAGGGATCGGCCGAATCTGGAAGATGGTGACATCGTTCTGTTAAAAGACGGAACTTCCTTGGCTAGGTGGCCATTGGGAAAAATAGTGAAGTTATATCCAAGACTAGAGGGGGTTTATCTGCGTATCTGAAATTCGGACTTCTTGCGCCGTGTTCTAGTGGCCCATAAACAAGTTGATCCTCTTGCCTATAAGCTGTTATCACATATGCTGTTTGCTGCCGGGACAAAACGTTTGCAGCAACAGTTCTGAGAAACGGCCTTTGGCGAAATAGGATTACCATCTTCACTTGGTAAACAGGCTGCAAGCCAAACAAGAATCAGTTTATCGCTCAGATTGGCGAAAGTGACGTTTCCTTTCACGTGACGTTTGCTTCGTGTTGTTTTGTATCGCTCACCTTCTTCGCCTTCTTCGTGTTCTTTTGTATCGCTTTCATCGTTTTCAACTGTATTGTAAGTTATGGAAGATAACAGAAAGGTGATTGCTATTAAATTAATCACTTTAATCTCCACTCTGGCGATTATAAAAGCGAAGCAAAAAAAACCTGCAAAGAGAAGTACCTGGTCAAGGAAATGGCTCTTAAGAAGGAAACAGCTAGGATGCTACGAAAATTTGATGAGAGAGTTAGCATTGGAGGTAGGAATATTTTATTTATATTTTTCAATAAATTTCCTTTTCCAAACTTATATTTCAGTTTACAATTTGTTAAACGTTTTAATAGATTTCAATATTGTGAACTTTATGTTATGCATTCTAATTTAAAACGTTTGTATTAATATGCATCAAGATTATAATGAATTCTAATCATGTACTGTTTACATAATTAAAATATTATTATTAAGCGGAATTAAATATCGAATTTCAAGGGTGAGAAACATGTAATCCTGTTTATATTAAGTCATGGTAAACGTAGTACAGAATGATAAATTGTATAATTGGTAAATTAAAATAGTACTATAAAATATGGACTAAGTAGGGGCTATTTAACGAATGGGATATGAATAACAGTTAAAGGTTGTAAAATAAAATGCTTAATTGAAATCCATCTCTATGTTTAAGAAATTTAAGCATGTTAATTTAGCTGAAATAGTAAAATCAAAAGAGTAATTACAATCCAAAATTATAAAACAGAGTTAAACTTTAGAGTATGTTGGAAACTAGAAAATATAAAATGTAATAAACAAGTTCAAATTTAGAGTACTTTAAAAATTACGAAGGTAATAAATGTACGAAACAAGTTGAAAATAACATCTAGAATTAAATAAAGCTCATATACATATACATGGTAAGAAAATAGAGGAATTAAGCTAAAATTAAGAGCCTGTTTGAAATTAGGAATGTATGTTTTGCTTTTTATTTAGTTCTGTGTTCGATGGGAACTTATTATTTAATTTTCAGTTATTGATGTGCATTTAAATATATGTATGTGTGTGTGGGTTTTAACATAAGTTTCGCCTATAAGGCATGATATTGTACAAATTTGTTTATAGTTTAAAATTAAAATTATGTATATAGTTAATTATTCCAAGGTTATATATTAATATAAAAATAGAGTTAATTATCTCAAGGCATATATTTACATACAAATACTTAATGTTACAGATGTTTAATAGCTTTTAATCAATATCCCGGATATTAATGTTTTAAAAATTTAAGTAAAGCTTCCACTCCATGTGCATGGTAATATTAGCAACTAGCAAAATTAAATAATGCAGTTATTTATTATAAGCAGCTTTCATGAAATCTTATTTTGTTGTTTAAGGATGCTATCATTTATGTTTAGGATTCCGAGGGATATCGACGATGGATTCGCATGGATACAAATGCATTTGAGTTTTTACTCAATGGCATCTCAGCGCTAATTGCCAAAAAGTAATACTCGATTCAGAGAAGCAATTCCTCCTGGAGAAAGATTAGCTGTTACTCTTCGATTTTTGGCAACAGGTAATTAATTTTTGTATCTGCATGTAATTTGGTTACCTAGCAGCTAATATATATACAGTGTAAATCGTTTAACACGAAACTGAGGGCACTGAAGTATTTTTTCGTTTTAAAGGATATTGGGGAGGGGAAAAAACATACAATCAACAAAATTAAGAACATGTTACTTATATGAATGAAACAAAAAAATATGCAAGAATTTAATTTAATACAAAAATTTCAATTTTTTTGAAAAACAAAACATTTCTTGAGTTTTTTGGAAAATAATCTGATATTTTTCTTTGCATTGTATTTATTAGCATCAAACTGTCAACAAATTGTTCGATGTTGTCCATTTAGTTATTAATTTAACCATTGGATTGTGCGTCTAAATAACTGTTCATTACTTTTCATGATGTTTCTCATTTCCGAAATGTCTTTTTCAGCCATAATTGGGTCTGTACACACATTATCATGTACTGCAATGAAATCTTCCGATGATACAGTAGGACAGGGCTATAATACAGAAACTTTCTCAGACATTTCATTAGGTGTTGGTTCAGTTCCAATATTGTTCTTCTCCGTTTCTTTTGGCTTGAACGAAACTCACTAATTTTTTACACACAGTGCGATGTACTTGTTACCAAAATCCAAAGCCAACTGATGACACAGGATATGATTTTGTGTGGCGTTTGTAGGGGTGGAGGGTGAAAGTAGTTTAGATGAGCAAAATTGTATCATTTCATAGGCTATTCTGAGAGTATTTCAAAGCCAAGTTAGCCTTCTTTCTACGAAACATGTGAAACCACCTCTCTTTCATTTCGCACCCCTCTTAAATCTCACCTGCGTGGCAGGTGTTTTCCGTATTTTGTTCATTCCCAGAAAAGAAATCTATTCCTGTTAAGTGATTTTCATTTCGTGTTAAAAAGAAAAAAAAATGCATAAAAATACATATTAGTTTGTCAGGACCATTGTATTATTTTGTGTTAAGCGTTTCCGCATTAAACGTATTTCACTGTATAATGATAATATAAATAAAAGGAGAGAAGGACTATTTAAGATTCTATTATGACTTTGTAGATTGAAATTTATGTAATTCTTCAAATTGTAATTCATAGTTTTCTTCATTGGCATTTTTAATTTTTACTTTATTGGATTTTAATAGGAGTATCTGACTTTCATTCGTTTGATTATGTATATAAATATATACCTAGCTTTATAATAATCGATACATGTATTGTTATAAAGAATTATCAGGTATTAATTTAAGACACATGCAAATAATTCAAGTTTCTTATAACAGAAGCATAAGTTATATATAAAAAAACTACTAGTCATTGAAAAAATATTATGCTTATAATACAACAGTTTGTATCCATATTTGATATTTATCATTGATGACAATACTTTTTCCCCTTAGGAGAAACACAAAGCTCCTTATCATTCCAGTTCCGAATAGCACAAAATACCATCTCTGGCATAATTGTAGAAGTTTGCAAAGCTATTGCAGCATTTCTCCAGCCGCTTTTTCTAAAGGTTCCAGACACTACAAAAGAGTGGTTGGAAATACAGAAAAACTTCTACAGATTGTGGAATTTCCCTATGTGCGTCGGAGCAATGGATGGAAAGCACGTCAAAATTCGTCCACCACCCAAATCTGGATCATTGTATTATAATTACAAAGGGGATTTCAGTATTGTTTTACTAGCACTTGTAGATGCAGATCTGAAATTCTTGTATGTTGACATCGGTACAAATGGGAGGGTTAGTGATGGTGGTGTTTGGGCAAAGAGTATGCTAAAAAAGGCTATTGATGATAATACCTTAAATATTCCTGAGGCAGATCAATTACCTTACAGTGAAGTTAAAGTACCATATGTAATTGTTGCTGATGATGCATTTCCTCTTTGCCCAAATATAATGAAACCTTACCCTGGGCAAAAATTAAATCACCATAAAAGAATTTTTAATTACCGTTTGTCGAGAGCCAGAAGAGTATCTGAAAATGCCTTTGGTATTCTGGCTGCAAGATTTCAGTTGTACAAGTCAAACATACTGTCTTCCCCTCAAAATGCCAAACATTTTGTGATGGCTACTTGTTGTCTGCACAATTTTTTAAGATCCACATCCTCAGCTGTTTATACTCCCAAGTACAGTATAGATGAAGAGGATGTGGCAAAGAAATGTTTGAACCTTGGTGATTGGCATAATGCACAAAATGCACTTGCTTCACTTCCAACAGTAAGCCACCAAGGAACTCAACAAGCCAAGTACATACAAAACATATTTTGTAAGTATTTTAATACTGTTGGCTCAGTACCTTGGCAGAATGAAATGTGTTTATTGCATTAATTATTACTTTTAAATTGTATATTTTTCTACTCCGATTCTTTGTAATATTTCATAAAGGCTACTTGCTAAAATTTTTTCTTTAAATTCCCAATACAAATGATTTCTATTACTTTCCTGCCTTTATTAAATTTTATACTTTATCCAAATAGCAGAATATTTTGAATTTTGAGAACTCCTTTTTGATTGTTTGTTTCATCATTTGGTGATTACTTAACATGTGTATAACAAATGCTTTGCTGTAATCAATATGAATTATATACAAATGATTTCTATTACTTTTGTGCCCTTTGTAAAATTTCATACTTTATCCAAATAGCAGAATATTTTGGAATTTTGAGAACTCCTTTTTGATTGTTTGTTTCATCATTTGGTGATTACTTAACATGTGTATAACAAATGCTTTGCTCTAATCAATATGAATGAAATACAAATGATTTCTATTACTTTTGTGCCCTTTGTAAAATTTCATACTTTATCCAAATAGCAGAATATTTTGAATTTTGAGAACTCCTTTTTGATTGTTTGTTTCATCATTTGGTATAACAAAAGGAGTTCTAAAACATAACATGTGTATAACAAAGAATCTTTCGAGTTATATATCCAGTTAAGATTGAGTTACCTAAAATTAGATTCTGTTTGTATCATAAAAATATTCCAAAAGTATTATTATATTGTTACACTGTAACTGCTTACATTATTAGCAGTTATATAATATTTGTTACATTATACTAATATTCATGCCAAAAATGTAACCTAGTAAAATAAATAACTCTGAATGGTCATTTGCTTTTCGAAGTCATTTCTTATGTAGTAAATAACAATACACATATAACAGGATATGTACACATTTCTACACAAGGAAATTAAGTACTTTTAAGGACCATTGATGAAACAAATTAAGGACCTATGAGCAAATGGGAACTGAATAAATTAAATTAAAAATATTATATCTATGCCTGAACGTGAATATGATGCATTATTATTAAACATAACTTAATTAACATAATTATTAATATTTAGAGAATGAAATTAATTTTATGAAATTTATCAAGTAGCATTAAATATTTTACACATAATAACTGCACATATCTGAAAGAATATAAGTGACATTTTAGTTACGTTTTACTAACAGTTAGCTTTTTTTTTTTTATGTCTCATTTTGTCACATACTTGCTCAGTCTAGAGGTTTAGTAAATAGAAAGTAGATTTTATGTCAAGCAGCATAAGTTAAAATTAGCATTAAAATCATAATCAGCATGATTCATAACAAAAGACTGGCTGTTATCACTGCTCCTTCTCGCCTATAGAGAGACCTGCTGATATGAACAAACCTGAAAGAAGTTTTGAAAGTTAGCTGACCTGTGTCTGACGCTGTTAATGTTGTAGCTTTGTGTAGAATTCCAGAGGTTGTAACTCAGTTAATATATTTTAAGGTTCTATTAAGCCACTAAAGCATTAGCGGTGATAAGTTGTTTTGCATTAAGTTTCACTAGATGCAAGAATAAGTTTCACATGAATTTTTATATTTTTGTTTTTTACCTTGTGACCATGGTAAAGGTTTAACACGTAATTTACATAATAATAACTGTACATATCTTTGAAGAATAATTTTCTTTCTCTTTACATATTTAGTTTCGTTTTTCAACATGTTTCCTTTTCACTTTAAATTTTTGGGATTTAATTAAAGACTTCTGTTATTCTAAAAGACTAAATGCATTTAGAGTGTATGCAAAAAGCTGCTAATTTTATTTCTTTAGTAATTAATACGAACATTCATGCATTAAGACATATTTGATGAATCTTGTGAATTTTCAGCTTTCAATTTCTTTATTAATAAAAAAAATTATTTCTATAATGCCTGTCCATATGATAAGATTAGAAGTACTTTTGATATTTTCCATGCTTGTATCTAGTGAAAAGTAGAGAAAATAAAGGGAAGATAAAAATGTTAAGAAAGCGATTCTAGAATCAGAAAAAAAAACATTCAACTATATGTTTTCATTGTTCTTCCAGATGTTCTCCAAAATGTAAGAAACTGCGTGTTACTACCATGGAGTCATTAGTACCATAGAGAGAAATTTCAGATGATTAAAATTCAGGACCTTCTGCCAATTTTGGCCAAAATTAAGGACTTTTAAGGACCAAAAATCAATTCCAAAAAACTTAAGGACCGTACGAACCCTGTATAAAAATATAAAATTTATTCTAACAGAAAGTGAGACTGAACAAGATTTCAGATTTTGCTGTTAATTGAATTTAAAATATCTAATCGAAATGCTTATCAAATATTATTAGTGATTATGAATATTTTATATTCCTAAAAATAAAAACATGAAATGCAATAAAATTCTCACTGGACGCACATTTTTCTATTAATGTAATGTGTATTATAATAATGTTTAAATAAACATTTAATTATTATGTGCAAAATAAATTTACAGAATAGCATAAATCAGAAATAGAAGCCAATTTTATTTTACAAAGAAAAAAACCATATTTTCAAATTACACAAAAAAAAAAAAAAAAAAAAAAAAAAAAAAAGTCGGCTATGAAAATTTTCTTCAAAAATCAAATTGATTTGTATTTTATTTTTCAGTTCTTCTCTTTTCCGCAAATCGGAAATATCTAAAAGGGAGGAAGCGACATACTTCCCAAACAGAATTTCTGTATTATTTTCTGTTTCCTGCACTTTTAAAAGTGCAGCAGAAGCAGTGGATAGGAAGTCCTGTATGTCACTGTCCTCCCCCTTTTTGCGCTTCTTCCTTTCAACTGGCTTCAGCTGGCTTGTTGAAGGAGAAGAAGAGGGCTCACTTACATCTAGAAGTGGCAGGCTAGAAATAAAATTTTCGCTAGTGGCAGGAGAGGGCAGCTCTGTACATTCTTCCTCCTGAAAGGAATATTAAATATTAGTTTCCATCTGCTTTTAAAAATCTAGCAATACATTCACATAAATAAACTACTAAAACAATTTAAGGCTGAACCTTGAAGCAGGATCTCGCGTAACAACAAAATGTATAGCCCTTGGTTAACTAGACTCTATCATTGCAATGCTTTAAGAGGGCCTTAGCCAAAAGTAATAACAGTCTGTCTCTAATCAGAAGTAAAAGACCATATTTTGTTGCAATCATGTGTAGGAATATACACGTATTATAACTAAATAGAAAATGATAATGCAAATAAAGTAAACCACCATAACACAAACTTTCTTAAGGCGAACACACAGTTAACATAAAAAAAATTTGGTGCCGGCAAGTGATGTGTATGATTATAGGAAGTTAGTCCTCTTCAACCTCTGGATCAAGGCATTGTGATGACTTCGGGGTTTAATAAGGCACCATTTAGCAAGACGAACCAAACATTTATTAAAATATATAATTCAAAGCATAATATAATAGTTACTCAGAGCAGTACGTCGCTCCTACGCATAGACAATCTACTACCTTCCTCTTCCGAGCTAATGCACTCTATATACATTAACCCTTTTCGGAGAGGGACTACCTGCGCCAAGCATGCTCTGTTGATCGCCAAACACCCGTGGTGCAGTTTGGTACTTCTCTGTATGCAAAGAGCAGGTATGGGATGTGCTTATCCCAATTCGAAGGATCAGTCCTGATGACATGATGTAACATTTGCTTGAAGGACTTGTTCCATCTTTCTACTAATCCATTTGAAGCAGGTAAGCAGGTGTAGAGAACCTAGGGTGAGAACCTAGTCTTTTCTGGAATTCTTTAGTTAATTTTGAAACAAAGTTACTTCCGTTGTCACTAGCTATTGTATTAGGGATTCCTGTTCTCATGAAAATCTCCAAAAGCGCGTCGCAAGTGGCTTTTGCTGTCAAGCTTCTCAGTGGAATGGCTTCTGGCCATCGGGAATGTTGATCTACCAGACATAACACATATTTATGTTTCCTAGCAGAGGGAGGTTCAATAGGTCCAATAACGTCGATGTTAACTGTTTCGAAAGGTAATCCTGGCCTTCTGACCGGTGTGATGGGAATCTTGTCAGATCGCTTTTCTGGACTTTTCAACTGACAATCTTTGCACGTTTTACAAAAGGTTTCAACATCTTGTGCTAATCCAGGCCAATAAAATGAATATCGTATTCGCTCCTTTGTTTTTCTTATTCCAAGATGTGCACCGAAAATGGAACTATGTGCTAATTCCAACACTTGTGCTCTTCTACTAAGCGGAAGCACTAACTGAAAAACAGTCTGTCCTAATATTTTTCTTGGTGATGTAACAGATGATCAATAAATAAATAATTTCCTTTTTTTTTTCTACAGCTAGCTTCCATGCTTCTCTCAGCGAGGGACAGTTAGCTTGCTCTTCGCGTAGGCGTTCAGCAGACGACAAGTCTGTGTTTACATAAACACTCGCCTTCTCCCCTTCCTCCTCTTCGTTTTTCTCATGGAGGTAAGAAAGGGAGGAGGGGCCATTCCGCGCTAGAAGTGAAGCACTGCTTTGAAGCTTGGGTCACCAGACGGGGTGTTCTTTGTTTACATTCAGAAGCTCGCTTGACAAGATTCTGATAGTATTTCGACACACGACAGTTCCATAGAAATCGAAAAAGGGACACTCTCGCATGAAAGAAACATTCATAGTGTGATGGATAATAGCAATTTGTATAGTTTACTGACATTTACGCAAAAATCACATCTTGGTTATTTTTCGATAACTAACAACAGCGATTTTGATTATGAATTTGTTTTATAAAATTCTAAGCTGTTGCACTACAAAAATATAGATTTTAAGAAAATTGCTAAAAGAGATCTGCCAAAATTTATTTTCTAGAAGATTTGAAAAGTTTGAAACTTGATGGCTAAATGTAAATATAAAATTATGTATGTTAAAATATTTGTAATTAGGCACATAGGTCAGATTAAGTTTTTATTAAATAGAGTAACGCATGCAAGGGCTATCTGCCTAAAGAGAGAGATGCCATCGTGGAGGAATTTTGAAGAAAAACTGACCTTTGAGTGGGTATTAAAAATAATACTTATAATTTTCATTCAAATTATATTCATATATATTTTTTATGTAAAACTTTCGGGTGTATGCTAAATTAGTGTAAATTACTTTACACGAAAAATATAGTGAATGCACAGAAATTAAAGATTTGCACATGCCGGAAATGATAAATAGGAAATATGTATGGGTATTTATGCATGTGCTTGCAAAAAGCATGTATCTGCCTTTGACAAAATACTTAAATATTCATTAAATTATTTATAAATGTATTTGAAATGAAGAATTTATTCACTTATAAACAACTGTGAAAGTACTGTGAAGAAATCTAATGATTAAATGTATCTAATTTATAATGATTATAAATGTTATCTAAATATATAATAACCTTAATATTGAATTGTAAACATAAATTGAAATCCTGTTGACAAATACGTTATAAAACTATTTAAGCAAGAATTGTTCGTATTGGAAAGCAATCTGTTAAAAGGTATTGTAAAGCAAATGCTATGAGATGCGCACTTAAGAACGTAATAAAGAGTTTTGGAATATGTATTGTTGAAATGAAGGGTAAAAAAAAAAAATCTGATAAGTATAATTAAAAGAATTATTCCCCTTTACATTTTATAATAACTCAGTTACAAGTTTTAAATAATACTTAAAAAAAAAAAAAAAAAAAAAAACTTATTTTATTCCCTTTCAGAAATGTTCAGAGAAAGTCAAATACTATTTAATTCCTAATAATTCTCTAATTTAAAATGAACCGAATAGAGCATTAATTATAAATTGACTTACATTTTTCGATTTAAAAGAAGCCAAAAAATCATGTCATATTTAAGAAAGTATTTTAGGAAGAAGCTCTATAAATAGAAAAGAAATAATGCATAATTTTAATATTAATAATACAATAAACTTTGATCTTAATTTTTGTACCTTAACCGAATAAAATCGAATTACCTTAATTTTTTTTTCTAATGTAATTAACGAAAACTTGTGAAAATATTTCATTCAAATTAAACCATTCTGAGAAAACTGTCCTGTGAAAAGTATAGCATTTAATTCCGTTCAGAATGAAATGTTGTTTAAAAATATGTTGTTTTCACATACTTAGGACTCTGAAGTGTTGTAGAAAAAGAAAATATATACATTTATATGTATATTTGCGACGTAATTACAAAATATTTACACCCGAACGCGTCAAATCCCATAGAACTCAATGGTAAATGACCCAATGTTTTGGTCACCACGTAGGGATCGCCGGTGCTTCAGAGCAGGGTACGGAGAAACTTGTTTAGGGCGACTCCATCTTACTTCCTACCTCATTAGCGGGGGGGGGAATCGACGCTGTCGTTTGACTGTGCATTGGCGAATAAAGTTTGTAAGTTTTCGCTTCCGTAATTATTTCTTTCTGCGTTTGGTTCTTCTGCCGCAGGATTAATCAACAGTTCGTATATTTCTGGAGTTATTAGGCAAGGCACATTTAGCTTATCAGTCACTGCAATTAATGTATCCACAAAATTAAATATATTGCTTCCATGATCTTTATGGTAAATAGGTACACGGCAAACTTTTGCTTCAATTGGTTGTCCGAAAGCAGGTGTTAGCAATATTTTACCTCCTTCTCTCTCCTCTAAATTTGGAATGAGCGATGAATGTACGATCGTTATCTGCGTTCCAGAGTCTACGATAGCTTCGATTTTCTCAGAGTTAATAAAAATATCTACTTTTTGCAGTGGTTGAACGATGCGTTCTGCGAATTCAGATCGTAGATGGGATGAGTCTACTTTAGCTACGATGGCTTCTTCTTTTGATGTTCTGTTTGAATTTTTTTGAGTTTTGGAATCATCCTTTCCCTTCTTATTTACTGCAGTTTCGTTCTTTCTTCTTTTGTCTGGGCAATCTCTCGCGATGTGTTGATAATTTCCACAAATATAACATTCTTTTCTTCTCGCGTGAAATCTTTCGTGTTTTGGATATTCTTTTCTCATGGGTGGTGGAATATATTTGTCGTGTGCACATGTTGTATCCAGGAATCTCGGTGATCGCTTAATTCCATTTCGAACTTCGTCGAAAGATTTTCCTTTGGCCGTGAAATAAATATCACATTCTGTAGCTAATTCTTGAGGCTTCAGCCATTTATTTCCTTGGCGTATTGCGACGTGTGCAGCTGTTTCTTCATCTAATGCTTGGAATAATTTATCGGAAATAATTAACTCCTTGAGTGTTTCGAAATCCTTTACTTCTTCTCTTGACTTGCAGTAATAGTCCCATGTAGCTGTTAGTCTTGAAGCGAACTGGATATGCGTTTCGCCGGAATAACGTTTAGTTTTCTGAAGTTTTCTAAACAGGTTTGAGGAGTAGGTTGATATTCCTTCAGAACAAGAGTTTTCACTTTTTCGTAATTTTGCAGATCTTCCTCCTTTATATAAACAAGAACATTTGAAGCTTTTTCTCCAATTAATTTCAATAATATTTCTGATTTGTATTCTTCGGGAACCTTCTTGTGCTTAAATGCTCTTTCGATAGAATCGAAAAATATATTCCATTCTTCTGCTCTCTTCGGTACTGGTATAGTCAGTGTTTCTACTCCTTTGATCAGCTTGTCCAGGGAAATTTCGGTTTCTCGTTCTGTGTTTTGGATTAAAGGTGTTGGACTTCTACTTCCTTCATTTTGAGTTGCTCGAATCTTCGCTAGTTCTATTTCGTGTTCTCTTTCTGTTCTTATTCTTTCTTCTTCCATTTGCATTCTTTCCATTTCTTCTTTTCTTTTTCTATTCTCCACTGTAGTAATAATTCATCTTCGATGTATTTCTTTCTACCAGCTTCAAATCTGGGGATGCTTCTTCGTTTTTTGTTACTAAACGTTTTTGAACATTTTCTTCTATTTTCCTTTAGAATCAAGCCTTTCAAACTCTCGATTAAATAATTCTCACGTTTTTACTCTCTTTTGCAAATGAACACTTCTTTCGTTAGTTAGGCTTAACTTTACGCCTCTTCCGTTTTCAACGCTCTAAGCTTCTAACCTCTCTGGTTTTCTCGTAAGAGAGCGTGTTGTGATGACTTCGTGGTTTAATAAGGCACCATTTAGCAAGACGAAACAAACATTTATTAAATATATAATTCAAAGCATAATATAATAGTTACTCAGAGCAGTACGTCGCTCCTACCGCATAGTACAATCTACTACCTTCCTCTTCCGAGGCTAACATGCAACTCCTAATAAATACATTAACCCTTCTCGGAGAAGAGCTACCTGCGCCAAGCATGCTCTGTTGATCGCCAAAAAGTCCCGATCAACATAGATAGAAATTATGCGGTTTTCATTAATTGGTTTTGAAAAACAATATAATACTTTTACTGTCGCATTAAATTTTTCACATCAACTGTTCACCAAAAAGTATACTCTATAGTATTCTGTGTGTTTACATAACACACAGTGCAAAAACAAGATTATTGTAGTCCATGATCTATCTGCCACTGTGGTTACAACATACAACAATAATTCTAGATATTAACAAGAATGCTGTAATTTTACTTTTAAACCTATACAATCATTGCATATAAGCATATTTAAATTACCAAAATTATTTCAATTACTTTATTTACTTGAAATTGTATTTAAAAATCCAGTGCTAGAAATCAATGATAATATATTGTTACGGTGGTAAAATCCTAGTATACGGTGCAGCCTTGGCGCGATTTTGAAAATTATCGCCAACACCAAAAATGACCCAAACAACGTTCTATGTATATACTATACACTGAATGATGGAATGAAGTACACGGGGTATTTATAACCATAGTATATACTATGTATATGATGAGTAGATCTATGTATACGACGATATATATTCTTTGAATGACCCGTTTACTACTCATCGTGTATGTCCAGTTTTTACTGCTCATCATAAAGTCGCCAAAAGTAGCCAAATCCCGTGTGCACCGGATACTAGGATTAAACCGTTACGGTTTTTGCATTCATTTAACTATTTTAGTAGAATTAATTAAAATTGTTTTATATCCCCGTGCAATGCAGGACGAGACTTATTTGAAGAAAAAGCTATGTCGAAAAATTAAAAATGCATGAACACATTCATTTAATAGATATCTCGAAATTTATCTTTTGCTTTGAAGTTTTATTCACTTTTCATCGGACTTGTGAATTCAGTTTATTATGAACCCATATGCATGCAACAATATTAAACACTTACCTCAATTACATCATCATATATGATATTTGAGGAGAAAGAATTGTCCAAATTGGAGCAACTGTCTTCTGCCACCATGCCATCATCCAAGAAGGACAGGCGTTGGAAATGCTCCCATTTCGGAACGAAACCCTGTCCTCCACTGCCACTTTTAAACGTGAGCATTCTTTTCCGCTCCCTCCTATACTGGCTTCTCAGATTTTTGAATTTTGCAAGCATCAAGTCTATAAATTTAAGATACGCAATAAGCATACATAAACATACATACATTTCTTAACTAAAATTCAAAACAGATAATCTTTGGAAGACTTCAGTTTTTACTGTTAACCTGAGAAATCAATCTGCATGTAAAACAAATGCTCAGTTTTTCTTGTCTTTTTTAATTTGATACATCATACAAAGAAATTAAGAAATGGTTATCAAGGTTGTTCATGCGTTGTGTACATATTATGTAAATAAAACAGAATTCAGATATAATTATGCAATTAAATTTAGTACTCTAAATTATAGGGTTTCCCTTAGTTCAATTAACAAATTAATCAAATTTTTGTTATCTTTCCTGAACTCGTCAACTTCCTTTCGCATTTCATCACCAGGATGCTAATAAAAAGTTAAGTGAAACGAGTATTTGCAACGGGTGACTCTTGGAGTTTATTCAGAATGTGTTGTTGCTAGCCAGCGCATGTTACGTTTCTGTCCTTGCTGTTACGCTTTTTTGGCCATTTAAATAATTATAATGCCAGGTAGGTTGTCAAGTCAACCTAGTTAGTCTTAAGGTGCTAGTCCAGCACTACTTTTCACACTTGAATTTATTGTATAACGATTCTGAAGTTCCACCGCTAGTTGTCGGTCTTATTGCAAAGCATGAAGTACATGCTCTTTTTTATAGCTGAAGATAATAAAGGGTTATTTTCACCCTTCTTCTGTGCTAGTATTATTTCACGCCTGTGCGAGAAGTCATCAGGTTTCTTAGTAGGATCTAGTAAGAGTTTATGTAGCCAAAGGCAGAGGAAAGATCTTATAAACTCTTCAACATCAGTGTTCCTTACTAATTTATGCATTATTTACTTTATGAAAAGAATAATGTTCAAGTAACAGATAAACACACTTGGTTATAGCAATCAATTACATCAGTAATAGCCAAATTCTGCATACACTAAGACCAGTTTAAAACGTGTGCTGGATAAGTCTATTTATCAGACATTACTTATGTGTATTTTCTGATATCTGCATTCCAATGAAAATGTGATGGCTCACTGGAAAATTTGTGACCTGGTGAAAGCATTTTCTGACTAACTTTATGGTTCATAATTACTGTTCTGTCCATTGAAACAAACAAACAAAAAAAAAAAAAAAAAAAAACATCTATGATAAAAAAAAAATCTATATGGCTGATATTTACATCCTCACAGCCAGCAGATACTATTCAGCAAAATTAAGATTAAATAAAGCATATGAATACATGAGCAATCAAACATGTTCGAGTTCTTTACTGTCCCATAGAACACTCGGTAATATACCTAAAACACATTAATTATACCAACTCTAGAAATTAGGAGGTGCACATCATGAGTTTGTTTTATGTGATTATGGCAAAGTCTCAAGGGATATCTGCCAAACAGGAAAGATCCCTTTGTAGAAGATTTTTTAAAACTGGTTCATATACCAGTAACAAATGGGAAAAGCCAAGAAAAAGCCCATGTAGCCAGCCTGTTCGTGGCATTCTAACCTCAGGCAAAACTACCAGTGTTCAACGATGTTTCTGGTAGGCCCGTGAATATAGAACATAATTGGCAAGTACAATCCATTATGTAAACACACAGGAAGGTGATAATCAGTTGTGCACTGTTTGTTTCAAGTAACATTTCTTATTATTCATTAGTCATGTTTATATTACATAGATCATACATATTATATAATTATGAATTCACCCACGAACAAAATGTGTACACTTAGTACTCAAATGCTCAAAATTTATTTTTCAACTGATTATTACATATCCATAATAATTTGCAAAGAACTGATGACTACAGTTGCTGCCAATTACATGATCGTTATATGAATTAGAAGTAACTTTTTGGCAATGTTCATTTTTGTATTCATACATACATATATATACACATCTAATAAGTCATATATTTACATACAGATAAAGAGATGCGATGCTTTAGAAGTTGTTGATATATTTATTAGTATTCAATGTACTGAATAAGATTTATATTAATGAATGTATATACAAATGTTTTTCATCATGCATAATAATAATAAATCCAAAAATGTCCAATGTTGCAACATGTAGCATTTACAATAAAAGTATAGTTTTTAATGTATTTATAATCCCAAAAGTATTTCATTAATAACATAAAAATCATAGAAAAATTTAATTAGTATTCTCATTATTACAAACTATGCTTTTCTTTTTTTATGCATATTTTATGCTGTTTAAAATGTGTCACTGATTATGCAAATACAAACAATTTAAAACATAAGTAATTAGAAGAAAAGCCGCGCATATACAAACGGATTTAAAAAAAATTATTCAACTTAAATTTAAGAAATAAAATTCTATTATATAACAGTGATAATACACGATCAGCACGAAATACGCCAAATATGGCGAACTTTTGGCGACGAACAATTGGTAAACAAATGCGAAATGCAAGAACGTCGTAAAATATTATCGACGCTGAAATTTCCACAATTATATATTTAATGAATACATAAACATTTTTAAAATGACTCAGGTATATTACAACAAAACAGCAATATATACATATAAAGATATATAAATTTTTGACTTACCGTATTGAAAGTTTCTTGCATACTCCGGCCATCTTTCTTTCAATATTTTCTGCTATTTCGTCATAGCCAACTTTTTTTAGGTTTTTTTTCGTGTAATATGGGTGTTTTATGTCCCATAAATATGGTTTTTTCTTAACTTCTTCAATTAAATTGGCTTCTATTTCCACAGTCCACGATTTCACAATCACAGCCACCGCCATATTGAAAGTTACCCGTGATCCTTCAGAAGCTGACCTTTCGTCTGATTGGTTGAACGTTCGAGGAACACGTCTCCGGCCGGAACATTTTGGGAAAAAATCTAAAATGTTGCTCGTAGCCGGGACACGTTCCTCCTAGCTATACGAAACATTTCTCGGAAGCCTGCCGCTTAAAGCCGTGCTACTAGAATCTCGTTTCTCGGAATTGTCCCGGGTAAGCGCGCGCGTCTATAGATCAAGATTCTCTTTGACTCGTTCATGGGGGTGGGAGCTGTGGGTGGAGCGCCGCTTGGGAGTTGTACTTTATAGTGAAGTGCGACTTGGGAGCGGTTTTAGATTTCTCGTTGCAGCTAATTACAGGCTGCATGGTTAAGCTGTTTGCGATTATTACAAATAGCCAAGCCAGTTACGGCTGTATTGCTACTGTTCTATAAAGCCCAGCATTGGCTTTACTATGGGTCGCACAAAGCTAGGGACCACCACACCTTTTGTTCCTTTTATTTTACGCTTCGTTATTATTGTTAAGTTTAATAAATGTTATGTTTTTGTTATAGATTCTTGTTCCCGGGATTATTCTATTTCTGGATTCAAGCATACGACCATGGAAGATTATCGACTTGTGTCTACTCTAATTTAGGAAATGATTGTCTGCTTTATAGGTTGGATTGTACTGTGATGGGCCAGTGCGGAACAGTTCATAATTCCTTCATAATAAATGCAGTTACATACTGAATGGTACTGAATTGCAGATTTATGGAAAATACAGACTATAGAAACAAGATACAGTTGAATAAGATACTATAAGATACAGTGGACTTGAAAACAAAATAGCATATATGTAATATGACGGCTTGGAGTAAGCTACAACAGACTGAGAATGGTTCTCTGCGTTATATCCTGGGAAGACTTTACTACATAGTTAGAAAGATGACACTTGAAGGAAAGACTTATAGAGAGACGTGGCCGAATTGAATATCACTTTTTACTGCTGGATACAGATGATCATGGGCGCAATATGCACCCCACAATTTTATATAGAGTATCACATTTTAGATAATAACGTAGTTAGTAGTAGATAATAGCGACCAAGCAAACGGAGTGAAGTAGAATCTTGAGTCCAGGAGAGCTCAAGCTAAAAAGTCCACAATTATTTAACAAGAAGTCCCACCAACAGGAGGTTTCGGTTTAGGTTAGAGAGGATTTAATTCTCGAAATTGTGAATCCAGGCTCCGAACCAGTTACGTCATCAGTGTTACATGCAAGATGCAAGATGAATTGATATAAAAATGACGGAGTCCAAAAAGTTACTATTTTTAGAATAGAGGAGGGGAGTTACGGGGTTCATTTTGATTTACATACTTTGGATCTTAAATATATATCTAAAATACGAAGTACTAAAATCTTTTAAGGAAAATTATGAAGATAAGTTGAAAAGGCAGATAGGAAGATCAACTGCTTTTCAAGGAGGGTAACCCTCAGCTACAAAAAAGAAGCTAAAAAATTACTATTTAAAGTTTCTACGCGTTAAAAGTGAACCATTAGGTATGAAGAATACGATAAGGTTGTCAAGAAGTTATAAGGTATTTCTCCCACTTCCCTAGCGTGCCGTCGTGGTGTAGTGGTCAGCACACTGAGCCGGTATTTCAGAGGTCCGTGGATCGATTTCCAGCGAAGGCGGTTCCATATTTTTCATCTTTCCTGCTTCCAATTAACCTAATGACTCTACAAAATAACTAAATCGGAACATTACAGAAAAATTCCTAAGCACGAGGAAAGTAGCTATGGGCATTATTTAACACATCGTGCGGTTTCCGAAGGTATTACTTTGATAACAAAACTCAGAACTGCTTTCAGTGCTACAGCGAAAGATGAGAAGGGAGACTTTCTTAATAGTTTTCGAGATAAGGGACAAAATTTGACTTTGAAGATTCATCAGGTTTTCATGGAATTTAAAACCTTCGTCATTGCTGTAACATCTGATATATAAAAAAAAAAAAAAAAAAAAAAAAAGCTTTGTACATATTAAATTATCCGGAGGAGGCGGAGGTTATTTGAGATTTGTATGATGGAAGAAATAGTCGGCTAACCAGCATAAGGCGTTGCTGTATGGTATTTGAAGGGTTAAATAGTACCTTTCTACTTCTGTTTCCTTCCTATAATTCTCATGTTTTGATTGGTAAAGCAGAAATACTGAAGAGTCGTTTTATATAGATACTTATACCAAGTAACACGGCAACGTCGTAACGACGTTGCAAACTGGTCTTAAAGGTTGCAAAGTGGTGGTGGTAACTTTTACGACGTCTTTACAACGTTGCGAAGACGCAATATATTTGCCGTTGCACCTTAGCAATTTGTTGACGTCGCTGAAACGTTATGAAATGACCGCTCTTAGACGTGGTCGTTTTAGCATCTTTTTCATAGTTCATCAGCGGTAATTTTAGAATGAAAAGAGACTAAATATGCCCTTTCAAGAACCTGAAGTCCGCATAAGATTTATTTTGCAATGTTTCATTCACGGTTATAGATGGGGCGATTTTAAGAATTCTGAGAAAACGTCCAATGTTAAAAGACGTTGCATATGTATCTAATGCTGAAAACAAAAAGGAGATATATATAGCAGAAGGAGTTAAGCAATTGCTGTCCATGGGGCAGTTTTGGACTTAGAGGATAGATTATAAACTTTAAGAACTGTACTAAGAGAGTACTGAACAGACTGTACTAAGACAGTAATGAACTAACTGCACTAGTACTGTAACTTTAGAACTGTACTACAGTAACTGTTGAACTGTACTAGTAGCAACTGTAGAACTGTTCTGTACTGTAACTCAGAGCTGTACTATAGTGTAGAACTGTAGAGCTGTACTAGTACTTAGTACGTACTGTAAGAACTGTACTGATACTCTGAAGAAAACCATGTTTAAGCAATGGGTTTACCAATGATTAGCATGTATCGTCCCATAACAATTATGTAGAATTTGACTTGATTCACAGCATGAGAGCACGAAGTAATATTTAAATGGTTTATTTAATAGAAAGAAATAAAAGTACATAAAGAAAAGTATATAAAGATGAAGTTAACGGTATGCAGGATTAACATAATGATGCACCAACAGTCCTTTTATAAACTCTTGAAGACGTGTGAGCCGTCTGCTCACGTCTGCCATCCACTCTCGACCAGGTCTCAGCGCTGTCTGGGATGATTCTTACTGCGCTGGGTGAAGCTATACTGATGACGTCATAACGGGCAATTCTCATTCAGCATTGGACGGTATGATTTCCACAGCTTCGGCCAGCCTGAAGAGGCATCGTCCTCGATGTCTGTTGAATAGACATCACTATCATGATGATATACCTGCAAAGATAATAAAAAAAAAAAGAAAAAGAAAAAAAGAGTATCAGGTCCTTAGGTTTTGAGCTGATACAACACATCAAATCAATTTGACCATGGCTTTCATATGGTCAGCCGCAGTAGATGTCAAATTTTGGTCCTTCATGGCATCCTACTTTCTCGACTTCATATCTGTCATTTAATCGAACAGCTATGATTTTATTATGATTTTATACGGTCCATGAAACTTAGGTCGTAGTTTCAAACCAGTCCCATATTGAGTTCTATGAATGGCTACCAAGTCGCCAATCTTGTATAGTTTCGGTTTCTTACGTTTTTTGTTAAATTGTTTTCGATTCTCTTCTTGTATCTTCAAAATGTTGTTTTTCGCATCTTCTCTCATTTCATCACGTTCTTGCATCAATTGTTTTAGATATTCCTTCATTCAATATCTCACTAATTCTCAAATCTTCTTTATTCTTCATTTTCGTGCCTATGAGAAGCTCAAAAAACGGTGAATATTTTGTACTTCTCGTAGTTGTACTGTTGATTATTCTCTGAACATCTGAAACATATTTAAACCATTTCGTTGAATCTTCATGTGATAATTTTGACAAAACAGGAATCAAAATTCTATGAATTCGCTCAATTTGTCCGTTACCTCTTGGAATACCGGTAGTAATTTTGATATGTTCTATTCCTTCTTCAGTACAATAAGCTAAAAATTCTTTCGATGCAAAGGCACTACCTCGATCTGAAATGATTCTGGCTGGATTTCCAAATACAGTCTGTTGTTGCTTCAATTTTGAAATAAACTTCTTGCGTAGTTGGTGATTTCACTGGATAGAACCAAGTAAATTTCGTAATAAAAGCGTCGACAACAGTTAGAATGTGTTGGATATCTCTTGTTCGTCGATGGAAGAGGTCCAATAAAGTCGATATGATACGTACTCAAAGGAACGTTTTCTTTTGGTACAGGATGAAGAAATCCTTCTGATTTTCCTTGCTTCTTGTTGTACAGTATACTTCTATACAGTTAGCAATTACTTTTTCAACTTTACATTTCAGTCTGGGAATATAGAATTCTTGCTCTACAGCATTCACAGTTTTATCTACAGCAAAGTGACCTTTTTTATGTACCTTCTGTATGATTTCATTCTGTAAGGATTCTGGCACTACTAGAAGATCTTTACCATTTTCAAATTTGTACAAAATATCATTTCTCACGAAGAATCCATTTTCTTCTCCCTTCTCAACTAAATTCTTGATTAATTTCACATGTTCATCTTCATTCTGTTGTTGTACTAACCGAATCTTCTCAGTTACATCGGATGTGTATGATGTTAAAATTAAAGCATTTCTACTTAAAGCATCAGCATGTTTCATTTGGCTTCCTGAACGATGTACAATTTCGTAATCGAATTCTTCAATAAACATTGCCCATCTTGCAATTTTAGGAGTTAAATCTTTCTTATCTAAAGTTTTCTGAAAAGCACTACAATCAGTTACAATTTTGAATTTAGTCCCTAACAAATAGTTTCTAAACTTCTTCAGAGCTTCTATTACTGCAAGGGCTTCTAATTCGTAACTACAGAGTTTCTCTTGCTGCGGTGAAGTCTTCTTACTCATATACTGGATTGGGTGATAATTACCATCATCAGACAATTGGAGTAATACCGCACCAAAGCCTTGACTGCTAGCATCAGTATGAAGTTCTAATGGAT